GAAACAACGGGAAGTGTTACCTTCAATCTGCATTGCATTCAACAGGCAAGGTGAGTTAACCCAGTTAACCCGAAAAGTAAGAAAAAAATTGATTCTTCAGTTTTGTAATTATTTTCTCATGTACAGGCTTTATGTGTTTACTACAGTCTTTAAACAACATCACCCCCTCCTCTAATGTAGTTTCTGGTGTACTTTGAATCATTTTGATAATTTCAGATCATTTGTTGACGCCACCATGATGAAGAAGAGGAGGCAGAAAGTGTTTGACCAGTTAGGAGGATTTAGTCAACAGGGAGCTGTCTGCTCCATTCTGGGTAATACATTATTTCTATAGAAGAAATTGTTAAGATTTGAAAAGTCACATAATCACAGTTTCGTTTTTTGGTTGTTTTATCTTTTAGAGGCTTTCCACAGAGTCAGGAAAAAGATGCAAGAGGCCAGAGAAGCTCTTCCCAGAGACCTCATCAATGCCACAGCCCAACTCCATATTGAATCCTCTACATCAGCTTGATGAACACTTCAGGAATCTTTTTTTATTAAACAAAATTTTAACTGCTCAAGTACTAGAAAAAGAAATTAGAAAAACATGACATATGCAGAAGAAAGTTAATTACTATTTTTGCATGGACACTAAGAAGTTATAAAAAATAAGATAGTGTGTAAGCTTACATGTTGGGAATGGGTAATAAATGGCATGTAATATAAAACTACACAGTAATAATGTGGCCAAGGAGGAGAGACAACATGCCCAATGAATGAAGAGTTACACGCCCTTACTGTATTTACAGACAAGCTAAGACTTTTTTTAAAATTGTGTATATATATTTTAAACATTTAAACTTTTACCAGGCATAGCTTCTGTAATGTTTTTTAAAATATTTATCACTATTTATGTACTTATATATGTCCTGTTGCTTTCAGAACTATTTTTAAAATTAGCTTTTCTGTACCTATTAAATAAGGGCTTTGTTGTTAATATGTATTTTTGAGATTGATTGAGCATTTGTAAAATTTGTCTGAACTTCCAATATACGTTTTAAAAGTGTAAATGCAGTGTTCCCCTAAAACGTGTAAATAATTTACAGTAACTTCACATGCATATAATTCAAATCAGCACACATATGTATTTTACTCCCCAGACTGGACAATTTGTTAGAATTCAGCCCACTAATTTAAAAATGGCCCATGACCCTCCTGTAGATCCAAACAATAATTTGGAAAATACTGCAATAATGCTACACAGCATTTGCAGGTCCAATGCATAAATAATTACAATATTCTTTTACCGTACAAGTTCTTTCATTAAATTCACCATTCACCATTGATTTAAGTTACGAACACATAATTTACAGGTTTAAATGGCAGACAGATGTGGAAAGAATTCCAGCATAGACTGTAGACGGTGCTCTAGTGGTGCATTGAAAACTAATGGAAAGTGAAACGCCATAACATGTCACACCTAATATGCTATGTAATTGCAATTAAACTTTATAAAATTAATACAACTGCACCAAATTAAAACGCACCAAAATAACGTCCAAATACCAATGGAACTGTTGACTTAAATATCTTAGTTTTCTATGGAGTTTTAAAGTTATGCCACTTTCGTTAGTGTTTTTCCGCTGTTACATTTGGTACAAATTAAATAGCCCTATTTTCAGTTCGTATTATTTATCATAATATAAGCTCACACACTTAAATAATAACAGGGTTTATTAACCAAAAAGCCTAAGCATCAATCGATTAAAAAACGAGCTATAGAAGGTTTCTATTTTCCGGTTCTCACAAACGCACCATCACGATCGAGTCTCCATCTTTCTCCTCTAACCAGGCTAAGGGACCAACCTACGACTCAAACCCCGCTTCAAGTCTATACATTTTGACTCCAGCATTTTCTGACAGGTATATGAAATATTTTATGATTAACGTTTGTTTCCTTAACATTGCAGTGTGTGTGTTTGAAAATACATGTCGTCTAACGTTTGCTACCATCACATATACTCTACGTTATTATCGCCCTGCTGTCAGAAGCAGTGAAAATTGGGCCGCAGTTAATTTTCAGATGCCGGATATAAAACCGTGTCACCTCGGCAGAGATCAGGATATAAGAGAAAAACAAAACGTTGTCGGTATTGATAATTTACTTGTCGTTAGACTCTTGTGTGTTTTTATTAGCCTGATAGCATTGCAAGTCCCAGAGGCAGCGTTAGCGGCAAATTTAGCTTGGAGCAGGCTAGCAAAGGTAAACCGCCGCGGTTGTAAATTGAGCGACCAACAAGCGTCTTGTCCAAGTCTCAAAAGTCACCTTGTCGTGATAGATTACATAATTTGGAAAATAGAACATCTTCGGTCAAGGCTCCAGGTCAAAGTTATGTATGCTTACAGTTTACGGAAAGACAGTGGTTAACATCTGTATTTAAGTTACCACTCCTGAATTATAAAGGCACCTATTGTAGCCTATGATCTGTTACGTGTTGGACATTGAATACGCGTAAAGTTGGACAAATGTAAAAAAAACTTGTATTCTTCTTATTTAATTATGGGCTCAGGCAGTCAGATTGCTTTGTATTTAATGTTTATTCACACGGATTGTCTTTCAGAGTGAATGTTAACCAGTCACACCCGGAAAATAACAAACTTGTATATAAAAACAAACACCAGCTTCCATGTTTGTCATTCTGTACCATGTTTCATTCAGTTTCTACAGTGCATCTAGGTTAGTAGTTGCTAGAATAATTGATTGAAACTGTGTAGTGAATTCCAAAGCATCTTCATTGTAAATAATATGCATTGGTAAAACAGAATGTTAATTGTTTGAATTGTGAAATTGTGGTGTGCTACACTAGCTGCTATTTGTCATTGCAATATAATAAAATAGGCCTCATCGCAATCCTATGATTGTGTGCTTTTGCAAAATAAGCCACTATCATAATAAGACAACAACACTGTAACACAGTTTTATTTGATTTTTAATGCTAAAGATTAAAAATGCTTCCTGCTGGATGTAATGACGTGTCATCATTCAAGTTCGTGTTTCCTAACAGGAACTTGTTCTGACTATGCATTTTAGCTAAATAACAGTAAAACGATAGTAAAACGAAAGATGGCAATAGCTGACAGCGACCCTGAAGTCAAGTTTGTATGTTGACCCTACATGGCTAAAGCTGTTTGTTTTACTACATCTGTTAAGATAGGCGAAGTGCCATTTTGTGAATGAGGCAAGAATAATAAAAATGCAAATGCATTAATTTTTGAAAAGATATAAAACAAATTAGCTTTGTTATATAAGCGAGGTGAAACTGAAGAAATTCTGATCAATAATGGGTTTTGTGTTTTTTCAGTACAACCTTAAAGAACCAGAACCACAACCATGACAGACTCCAAATATTTCACAACGAACAAAAAGGGTGAGTAATATTGGCAGCTGCTTACAGTTCCTGTTATCGCTGGTGAAGTATTTTCTTTCCTGTGGTACATTAATCCATATCTGGTTTGAGAAGCTTTAGGTCTAAAAATAAACATCTGTTTGATTCTAGGGGAAATCTTTGAACTGAAGGCAGAGCTGAACAATGAGAAGAAGGAGAAGAGAAAAGAGGCGGTGAAGAAAGTCATCGCAGCCATGACTGTTGGCAAGGACGTTAGGTAGAATATTGAATTTAAGGTTTCCTTAAGTATAAACTCTGAAGCTGCATTCTTTAGGTCTAAACAGCTGTTGCTGTGCTGTCAGTTCTTTGTTCCCAGATGTGGTGAACTGCATGCAGACGGATAACTTGGAGCTGAAAAAGTTAGTGTACCTCTACTTGATGAACTATGCTAAAAGCCAGCCTGACATGGCCATCATGGCTGTCAACAGCTTTGTCAAGGTAACACTTCAAATAAAACCTAATGATGATCATTTGGCAAATGTAAAGATTTAGTTACTCATTCTGCTTCTACCTGAGTAAAACCATTAATTTAAACTAAAATACCTACTTTTTCAGGACTGTGAAGACCCTAACCCACTCATCAGGGCTTTAGCTGTCCGGACCATGGGCTGCATCCGTGTCGACAAGATCACTGAGTATCTGTGTGAGCCTCTTAGGAAGTGTTTGAAAGATGAAGACCCATATGTGAGAAAAACTGCAGCTGTCTGTGTGGCAAAACTTCATGACATCAATGCCCAGATGGTGGAGGATCAAGGCTTCCTGGACTCCCTGAGAGATCTAATTGCTGACTCTAATCCAATGGTTAGTTTTAAGTAATGTAAAATTCAAGGAATCATTTAGGGAGTTAATTTTTTAGTTGTCTTTACGAGTATTTTAATATGCTGATTTGCCTTATATCTGCAGTTGTAAAATCATAATCATGACCTTGTGGATAGTTTAGCCACAAGCATGTGTTACTTTAAATTGATAGGGTTATAAAGAACTAAATTATAAAACCTATGTTGTAGAACTAATTGCAAGCTTTGTCTTTCAGGTTGTAGCCAATGCAGTGGCAGCTCTGTCAGAGATCAGTGAGTCTCACCCCAACAGCAACCTGCTGGATCTCAATCCCCAGAACATCAACAAACTGTTAACAGCCCTTAATGAGTGCACAGAGTGGGGGCAGATCTTTATTCTGGACTGCCTGTCCAACTATAACCCTAAGGATGAGCGTGAGGCCCAAAGGTACAAATAATGTTCACAAACAAGAGGTTTCACTGTGTAACAGGTTTTTTTTCACACTTTCGCACTTGCCTTTTCAGCATCTGTGAGCGTGTTACTCCTCGACTGTCTCATGCTAACTCAGCAGTGGTGCTGTCGGCTGTCAAGGTTCTAATGAAGTTCTTAGAGCTGCTGCCTAAGGACTCTGATTACTACAACACTTTGCTGAAGAAATTATCTCCACCGCTGGTCACCTTGCTCTCTGGAGAGCCAGAGGTCCAGTATGTGGCTCTAAGGAACATCAACCTCATTGTACAGAAACGGTAACTTCATCACAAACTCATTTAAAAAAACAAACAAAAAAAGTTATTTTATATTCTTTCCCACAAAAACACATACAGTACAATGACAGCCAAAGTCCAGAGTGACTTTCTCCACTATAATCAGTTTGTTCAACAGCATATAATGAGTTATCTGTTAATGTATGTAGGCCGGAGATCCTGAAGCAGGAGATAAAGGTGTTCTTTGTCAAGTACAATGATCCAATCTATGTGAAACTTGAGAAACTGGACATCATGATCCGCTTGGCCTCTCAAGCCAACATTGCTCAGGTTTGTACATGACACACAAATCTGCCTTTGGTGTTGTTTTCTTTGTCATTGTGGTTTTTGGTTACATATGCTCCGTCTAAATACAGTTGCAGTTGTGTTTGAATTTCCATGTTTAAAAATAAGCTGTTACTTATTTTGGCCTTTAATCCTTTTGTATTCTGCTTTCTTGACCTGTACACTCCCTCCTCTTTTTGACCTAATACTAGCTATTGTTCAGTATATGTACTACCAAAAATGTAACTATTTGCTCCATAATATGAAGATTAATTTTCATTGAAGGTAATCTGCTCACCCCTGTCTAACACCTTGGTCACTGGTGTTTGTTTGTCACTCTCAGGTGCTGGCTGAACTGAAGGAATATGCCACAGAGGTGGATGTTGACTTTGTGCGTAAAGCTGTACGAGCTATTGGACGTTGTGCCATCAAAGTAGAAGTATGTAACGTTCAGATAGCACCTGTGTACAGTTTCCTAATTTATTACTTTGTTCTTCATGTAATTATATTTTATTACTTTGTCCTGTTTGTCTCTAGCAATCGGCCGAGCGCTGTGTGAGCACCCTGCTGGATCTGATCCAGACCAAGGTGAACTATGTGGTCCAGGAGGCCATTGTGGTCATCAGAGACATATTTCGCAAATACCCCAACAAGTGAGTTTCACACTTAATCCATGAGATCAGTATTTAAGCCTGATTAGTGTTAAAACAAATGAAGACAAATGAGATTCTGCTACTCTTCAGGTATGAAAGCATCATCGCCACACTATGTGAAAACCTGGACTCTCTGGATGAGCCTGATGCTCGTGCTGCCATGATCTGGATTGTTGGAGAGTATGCTGAGAGGATTGACAACGCTGATGAGTTGCTGGAGAGCTTCCTTGAGGGCTTCCACGACGAGAGCACTCAGGTGGGTGAACCATTAAAAATACAAATTTGGTCTGCGGTCTGTTATTGAGTCATCATCTCTCTAATAAAGAATATATCGCACTGGTGTTAATGGAAGATCACAATATTTTGTTGTTCAAAGGTCCAGCTCACTTTGCTGACTGCTATTGTAAAGCTGTTCCTTAAAAAGCCATCAGAGACTCAGGAGTTGGTGCAACAGGTTCTGAGTCTGGCCACTCAGGTTAGTGTCATCTTTCATTTTGAAGAACCATATTCAGCATTATTTTTATGTAAAACCCCTTGTTATATCTGTGAATATCTGTCTATAGTTGACTGAAAATAACAACAAAATCACACAAATTATTATAGACTTGTTATGACTAATCTTCTACCAAAGTGAACACAATTGTCTTTGTCTTTTCCTGCAGGACTCTGACAACCCTGACCTCCGCGACAGAGGCTACATTTATTGGCGTCTTCTGTCCACGGACCCTGTGACAGCCAAGGAGGTGGTGCTGTCTGAAAAGCCCCTCATCTCTGAGGAGACGGATCTGATCGAGCCCACTCTCCTGGATGAGCTCATTTGCCACATCGGCTCTCTGGCCTCTGTCTACCACAAACCTCCCAGTGCTTTTGTAGAGGGCAGTCACGGAGTCCACCGTAAACACCTTCCTGTTCAGCACAGCAGGTCAGACGCACAACCATGCTGTACATTTTCATCTACACATGGCCTTTATCAATAGCCAATTTATTACAAATAATTTTAAAATACTTTATGTATTTTTTTTACTACCACAGCATTGATACTGGTGAGAGCCCAGTGAGTAGTGCTCCAGCAGCTGCCATGGACCAGCCACATGTGATTCCCAGCCAGGGTGACCTCCTGGGCGACCTGCTCAACCTGGACCTGGGTCCACCTGTCAATGTCCCCCAGGTATCGTCAATGCAAATGGGTGCAGTGGATCTTCTGGGAGGAGGTCTGGACAGCTTGGTGAGCTGGATGTCAAACACACACATATCTACAGTACACCCTACACACACTTTGTTGACATTCTATACAGCAAACATTACAAACACAATATACTGTATTTTTATTACTGGGTTTACATAATAACGCCTTTCCTTGGAGCAGACAATGTTATGATTTTTTGTCTATGAAAGAAAACGGGGATGTAAAAATGGTTTGAAATAAATTGCACTGTCTCCCAACAGGTCCCTTGTGTCACAGTTCACAGAGCTGACTATGAAAAAAACTTCTTGTTGATTCTTATAAGAGAAAATGTATGAAAGTAGTCTTCTAGTCTTCGTAGTTTCTTATTATTAATTCTTTATCAGTTATGCACAAGATTTACTACTTTTTGTACAATGTAATGTAACAACAGAAAATGCTTTAATTTATTTTTATTCCCCAAATGCCTTTTAGCTTCATTCAGCAATACAAATACATTTGTTGCATCAGTATATAATCACATTTAGTGCTTAAAAAAACATATGATATATGTGAGTTTTCATGGTGTTAATATTAATATTTTCACTTCCTCAACTTTCCAGACTAACTGCGATTCTTTATGATGTTGCTGCACATCCAGAAGCATTATTTTACATCTTTTTAACATGTCCTGTGGAGTTTTATAATGTTTTTCTTAAGGGGGAATTCTGCTCCTGATGGTTTGCGGTTGCTAAGAAAGTCTCTGTCTCTGTCTTTGTGTGTGTTTTTGTTCTATCTGTGATATTTGGATGCGGTCTTTGGGGGCCTCTCTTCTCTCCTGTAGCTGGGGGGAGACCTGGGCGGAGGTGTTGGGGGAAGTCCAGCAGTAAGTCAAGCCCTCTGTGTGGCAGATCGTTTCTCTGCATGCTACATGCTTCCTCAGTTTACCCTTTCATACAGTTTTTAAACCTGGCTTTTCTGTCTCTCACTCACTGACTGTAATTGGTTCTGTTGAGTTTTTTGCTTTCAATTTAAAATTGTTGAAGATTTCTTAAAATCAAAGTTCTTTCTCTAGTAAAGCTAAGGATTTGTTTAAGCCTGGTTCTCTTGTTCACCACCTTTTTTTTTTTTTTTTAAATACAGGTTGGTCAGAACTTCATCCCGTCTTCTGTCCCCAGTACTTTTGCTCCTTCGCCCACACCAGCACCTCCACCTGCCAGCAGTGGTCTGAACGATTTATTTGAGCTTTCTACAGGAATGGCCACCACTACTGGCAGCTACTTTGCTTCAAAAGCAGTGAGTTTACGTTATGTCAGAGGTCACTAACCCGTGATTCTTGGGCCACTCGTGGCTCTTCAGTTTCTTTTTAATGGCTTCCTTTATATTTATTTTATGCAGATTTAATGTAAAATGTCAGGTAGTGTTTTTTCAAATGCAAGTGTACTTCTTGATATTCTTGTCAGGTTTGGCTTCCAGCAGTTAAAGCTAAGGGACTAGAGATTTCTGGAACATTCTCTCGGCGCCAGGGTCACATGTACATGGACATGACTTTTACAAACAAAGCTCTTCAACATATGACTGACTTTGCTGTGCAGTTCAACAAGAACAGGTCAGTGAAATCTGAGTGGACGGTTCTGCTGTCAGGCAGTTTTTCCTTCATTAATATACATTTATGTTTTTGGTTTTTTTACCTACTGGTATTTGTTTTCTTTTGTGCAGCTTTGGGGTCATTCCCACCAGCCCTCTGCCCGTCCACACTCCTCTGATGCCCAATCAGAGTATTGACATCTCTTTGCCTCTCAACACTATTGGGCCAGTCATGAAGATGGATCCACTCAATAATCTGCAGGTATAGAAGGACACAAGGAAACTGCCTTTTTGCAACCACAGTGCTGGTTTTTTTTTTGTGAGATTGATGATGTATAATTGAACATCAAAAGTGTTGATTATTATTTATCCTCCCTCTGTTTCTACACAGGTGGCTGTGAAGAACAGCATTGACGTCTTCTACTTCAGCGTACTCATCCCTCTCAACATATTCTTTGTTGAAGATGGAAAAATGGGTAAAGTTGTTTACTAACACTAACTGTGACCACGTCATTACAGCAATACAGGGTAACATCTGTAACCAGTAAATTGTGATGGCAATAAGTAGTAAGAAAATGTGATTATTAAATGAATACATTACTACAACTTGTTAAAGCTGATTTTTTAAAATGTATTTCCTTATTAGCACACATACATTCATACGTTCATCAAATACAAGCAAATATTAATTTAACGTTAACAAACCTGCTGTTACTTTGGACTCAGAGCGACAGGTGTTCCTGGCCACCTGGAAAGACATTCCCAATGAGAACGAGCTGCAGTACCAGATAAAGGAGTGCCATCTAAATGCAGGTTGGTGCAAGTATAGGAAAGGATGCCTCAGTTACAAGGCTGTCTGTATGTCCCTATAACATAACAGGGTTTAGTGTGTAGTACTGTACATGAGTACTAATGAACAGTGGTTTATACCATGAGCAGCTTGTGTCTGCCATATATGCCAGCTAATGTTTACTTTTTTCCTTTTCTGAATTATGCTTTTCTTGGACATTCCTGTTGTCTACACCTGAAGAACAACTTCAACAAATGTTCTTTTATGAGCTGATCACATTTGTTCCATTATCACATAGCAGTTAGACTCACATGGTGGCTCTTGTAGTTAAATGGTTGTTTTACTAGGAAGAGAACTAGAGAGATTTTTTTTATTTCCCTCAAAACCCTTTTCCCTGTGTTTTGTTTTTTAGCTCAGTAGCTAGAGTAGATAGTTGTGAATGTGGAAATTACAGGCCTTTGTTTGTTGGTGTTTGATGTGGGTTTATTATTGGATGTAAACCTTGTTTCTGGTGTTGCAGACACTGTATCAGGAAAGCTGCAGAACAACAACATCTACACCATTGCCAAGAGGAACGTAGAAGGCCAGGACATGTTATACCAGTCCCTAAAGTTGACCAATGGCATCTGGATCTTGGCTGAGCTTCGCATTCAGCCTGGCAACCCCAATTACACGGTAAATAATTTTTTTCAGCTCTAGAGTAAATAATCTAACGTAATGTTGATGTCAATGAGGTCCAAAAAAAGGTCAGTTGGAATTATAGGGTGTGCCAGGTTTTTGAGGTGTGAAAAGGTTGATTTATACAAAGTTGACTTTCCATCATAAATATTCACAGATGTAGTTTTTATACTACTGTGTTCTTCTCATACAACTTTCTAAGTTTAGTAAGAAAAAATAAACCTTTGGCTATAGACGTTGTAAAGTTTGTGACTTGGCCACATTTGCATGCATAAGGGTGTGTAATGTAGAATTATTTTCCATCAGCTCACATCATCTCTGTCTTCTTCCACTGTCTTCCAGCTCTCTCTCAAATGCAGAGCACCAGAGGTTTCACAGTACGTCTACCAGATGTACGACTCCGTGCTGAAGAATTGACCTGCTCTGACACCAACCACTTGGCTTAATTCACTGCAGTGTTTTATCTCCTTCTGTCCTCTCCACCTAACTGCCAAAACAAGGGAAATTATGACAGAGACTGGATCAATTTGGTTTATAAGGGGCGGGGGAACAAGAGAAAGAGTCAACGCTCATATCTTACTGTGCTATTCTGTGTTGGTCACTGCACTTTCCCTGATTTTGGCAGTTGAACACATACTTGTATCATCGCTCACTCATCTCCCTGTTCAGTTTTTTTTTTTTACCTCAGTGAAAGTGTGATTGCCATTCCATTCCTAACTTTGTGTCTTAATGTTGTAAAGATATGACGGTGAACCAACTCCTGTGTGAAAAACAAAGTCTGTCTTATTCCTGACACTATTGTTTTAATTTGATCCTGAATGGTTTGGCTTTTTTCAGTTGTTGTTTATGTTTGATACTACGCACTGCTCCAATTGTACAGGCATCTTAATATCAGTGGGATTTGTTCTTCAGCAGCTTTAACACCAGGGGGCCAAGGCTTAAAGTTAACCCTAAGAACTTGATCCTTTCCATTGCATTAAGACACATATTTTATTAACGTCAATGCTGCAGCTAGATTCACAGCATGAAATCACCTGCAGTTTTTGCAAAACAAAATCTGAATGTTGTCTATAAAAAAGGTTAAAAAAAAACTTTTAATGAAATCCCAAAAATGCGTTCCTGTGATTAAGTGATTACTAATATCAGTTCTAATTCCAGGCACTTTACTGCTGCTTCCCACATTTACATCCATTGGTTCATTCAATAAATCTAACTCTGATTCTCTTTGAAAGAGTGGAATTAGGGGAGAAAAATATTTAAACAACAAATATATCCTCACCATATCCCGTCATCCACTCAGAATTTAATTAAAGTGTAATTTAAGAAAACATACAAATGTCAACGATGGCAATTTTCCAAATCTTTTTACATTCGTTCTTATAAAATACATTCATTTTGCTTGATAATTTAATGTGGTGAAACACACTTTAACATCTTTGTTACCATCAACTTGTTTGTCATTACACAGAACCACTATACAATCATGTCAGCTGTGATGTTTGACCAGCCACCAGTGCCACTCCATTGTTAACATCCCTGTTTGCTCATTTGTTTTTGTGACAGCCTCATTTACTGCAACCATGCACTTGTTTATGACTCCATTCACCTTATGTTTGTCATTCCTATTTATTATGTGCATCTACCTCTGCATCGTTATTGCAGTAGCCCCAGTTCTGTGCTTGAAATGTGTTTCACATTTTCTTTTGGTGCCTGTGGTGTTTTTTATTTTTTTGTGTTCAGTTAAAATCAGCCAAACCAGTCTCACAGGACTGAGCATTCCCCCAAAAAATGCCAAGTTGATGTTTTAATACCTTCATGTCGATGTAATGTTGCCACTGAATGTTCCATAGAAATGTAGAGTGCATACAGAATCTAACCTAGTTCCTCTAGTATGATGTAGTAAAGTGAGGGTGCTGTGTAGCAAATGAATTTAAGTCCAAATGTATGGTTTTATCATGACATCAAATAATGCCTCATCTCTATCTGTTTAGTAACAAAATAGTTTTTTATTCTGAGAATAAGGTCTGCTGGTGGCGCTATTTTTAAATTACTGATGTGTGTTTATGTGCATGCATTAACCCACTGTTGATTGCATTGCAAAGGTCTGTGGACTTGCCCCATTTAACACCATCCCCCCCCTCCACTCCCTGTCACTCCAGGTCCTGACTGTAGTATCTTGTTTCTAGCAGTTCCACTGAAGGTGGCTTTCCAAATTATCCAGAGAGAGCTGTGGTAGACTCCTACAAATGTACTATTTCTAGTTATATTGTTGTAACCCCATTGTAAATGAATATTGTCTCAGTACAAAATCCTTATGTCAATAAAACGTCAAAGTCAGAACTTTGTGTCCAGCTCTGTTCAGATCAGGTTCTGTTGACATTCATCGTATTTTGTTTTAGTGAAATTCTTTCTCACTGTTTCTTTTGGACCACTCTTGTGTGTTCCCTGTGTATCCCTGTGGATCTCTGTGTTCTTTTGGAGCAGTTGTACTGCACCAAAATGAATATGCTTTCCATGATATAAATCAATGTGGAACAGTTGTAGTATTGTCCTTATGTATGTCTTTAACTGATGAAAAAACAGTTAAAACATGATGTAAGAAATGAGCTGTTGATCTTGAAAATGAATAACTTATTTTCTGCATTATATTTTGAAATATTCTCATTTTATTAACATATTTGTACAAAACCCCTCAAACATAAAATATGTTTACCACAGTGTGACTTCACTTACAGAATAATGTAAATATTTAGTACAACCCTTTCAAAACTACAAAGTGAATTTCATTGACAACACTACAGACAGTCACATTTCTGGGTTGATTTTTTTTTTCCAAGACCAATACTTCAAAATGCAATGTTTAGTTATTGGGAACAACTCAGCTTTATTATATTATTAAACCACAAGTAGGTGTAATAGGAAGAACTCTGTTCACCCTGGTTACCTTTTCCTATTCCGTAACTGTGCAAAAGTTGCACCTTTGAGCATCAAATGCAACGAAGGAAAAATTCAAAAGTGGTCAAGAGCTTTTTGAAACCTCACTCTTAACACTCAACTTTCTCCTTACTACATATCCATGAAAGCAGCGACTGAACAAAATAACATCATCCGACACATGACATGGACTGAAGTGGTTCCTATACCTCGGGCAGATTTGGAGAAGGTTGCTGTTGAACAGGACTTCATTAGGACAGTCTCATGTCCCAAGGTCAGCCTTTCAGCTGCTGGGACATGATGAAGGTGCAGTGCAGAGATTTTCAGACGGTGAAGCTATGAGGGGAGCACACAGGAGAGCCACAGGGTTGCGTGCGAGAACCGTTGAACTTGGGATGATTATTGAAACACGGTGGTCCGTCATGTTCTGGAGAGCCAGCACTGTTGCTGGACGAGTCATCAATGGAGGGCTCCTGGAAAATAAGTTGAGTGAAAAAAGAGTTAATCTGCCTCCAAATGTTTTTTTTTCCTCTTTGCTCTCCTAAACTACCTCAACCATCTTTTATAAATAGTAATTATGGAATTTTACAAAGATTTCAAAAGACAACGACCACATTTTCGTCACAGATACCTTTTGCTGCAGGATGTAGAGTGATGTCACTGCACTGATTCCATTATGCTCTCTTCGTTTGGGAAGCATATCTTCTGTGACAAAGTACAGGGCATTACGTAGTTACACACCCATGATTTCCTTTTTTGTTGTTGTAATTTTTGATTTAGTTTTAACCATTATATTAATCTTCAAACCTCTGTCATTGACAACTGAATGCTGATATTGATCATACAACCTGGCAAGAGATTTTCTGGATCGACGTCTTGCCCTAAAGAGGTATTCAATACAATCAAAGTCATTTATTTATATGCACGGCAGACAAGCACTTTCCAAAAATAATACACCATTTAGAGTATTACTTACTTTTTGGATGGCGTCCAGCAGGCACATATTGTTACTAATGTGATGAGGATGAAGATGCCTCCAGTGGAAAGAATGATGTAGAGAGAACTTCTCCCTGCAGAAAGAGATTTTAGATTACAGCCATAAGACACCGGTGCCGGTGTCTGTTGTTTGACTCGCACTGTTGTCAAAAACCAAAGACATTGGCACATACTGTAGACAGTCAGTCTGAAAGGGATGCTGGTTACATTCCCCACAGGATTCTCCACCGTGCAGCTGTAGATGTCATCATCTGCCATTAACACCCGACTTATTGTCAAGAGCTTCTTGTCTGGAGACAATGAGAATCTGGTCTCGTTGCTCTGAGGCTTTCCACCTCTGAACCACCCATATGTGGGCCTGGTTCCATTTTCATGGGAGCAGTTCAGGACCACATTTTCACTGAGCTCCAGGATGGATGAAGACTCTGTGTGAATGTAGGGCTTTGATATGGGTTCTGGAAATATGTGAGAGAACACATAACGCATGTTAAGAAAAGAAATAAAGAGTAGGAAAAATAAAAATTTAATTCAAGATTATCCATTAATGTTCGAATTTAAGACTCTTTCATTAAAAAGTTTATGAAGCTTGTTGTTCAAACACAAGTACAACCTACAGAGAATCAAACATGCTCATATCCTGACATTCACATCGCACAACGTACAGTACAACTTGTCCTCCTACCATCCACAGTCAGTGTGATGCTACCTTCTCCTGTGAAGGTATCGTCAGTGATGGAGATCTCCACATCATATATTCCATCATCAGAGAATCGGAGGTTGTGAAGCAGAAGTGTCCCGTTCTCAAAAACCAAGATGCGGTCACGATATTCGGGCCTCAGTGTCCCGATGATGTCAGTTCCAATGGACTGAACCACAGTGACGGACTTTTCTCTCTTCAGCTGCCATTTGATAACTGGCAGGTCAGCACTAAAACTACTGTAAGAGACGGACAGAACAGCCTCCCCTCCGTGTGTGCCTCTGATCACAGTGTTAGGAATCGTCATATTCACGGCCAACACCTCACCTAATACAAAAAACAGAACACAGAGCTGAAATGTTTTCATCATAGCATTCCAGCTACAGAAAACAAGGAAACCACAGCACACACATACACAAACACAAGATCAGTGTCATTGTTTTCTTCCCACAGTCAGTGATACAGTAGATAACTGTTGGACTGGGTGGACCACAGTTTACTGGAGTCGATTTGCATAGCAGATTCACATTACCATGGCAACAGCTGTCCATCCTTGGGATGGGCGAGCCTGGACAAACAATAGTGACCTTTGTTTGTTCACATTTCCTCACTGGGACTTCATGAAAGTGCACTGGGAATGATTCAGACCCCATGCTAGCTTTGCAGGAACAGAGCAGCTCAGTGACACTGGTGCTAGACACAACAGGGTGGCAATGCCATCACCTAAAACACTAACATTTAATTAAGCACATTAAGAGTGCAAAACGTCCACATGGTCTGATGCTATCATGTAGCATAGTGAAACAAAAGTATCAGCAAAGGTATTGCATTAAAAGCTACAATTTGTTTGATGCAGCAAAGTTTTTAAAAATCCCAAATTTAAAATATGATAACAGTATGTTATGGTAAATATACCTTTAGAAATCCTGCAAAATAGCTCACAGTTATTCCAAATATTTTTGATTTGATTAATTACATAAGAGACTATTTAAAGTGAAAAATAGTCCAATTTGCTTAAAGTTTGCAAAAGGAAATAAATGGCTAATGTTTGGTAAGCTAGTTCAGATTTTAGCCAAAATATTATAAAGTGATTTATTCACTTTTTGCTTTTTTTGCAATATAAAAAACATACCTGTAAAGCTTGCATAATGACATTTTCAAGCAAGAATGACAGGATTGTGATGCAATATTGTCATTCTGTACAGTAAACGAGTAACACAGCATTGTACAGATCCAGAAATATCCAAAAACCAGCTATTGATAAAACTTTTAATTGTAGTTTGGACATACCTGAGTTGAAGAAACCCAAAGACATGATTGACAAAAAATTAAAAGTTATTCTAACTCTTGAAAGAACATCCTCCGCTGGCATCATCTTTGGTCTAAGTCTTTGTTTTTCTCCAAGACATCCAGTGTGATCTGTGACTGTGCACAGAACAGAGGACACAGCCAGTCATTCAGGCTGAGCAGGCACCGAGTACATGCTGTTCTCACGAGCTGCTGAAGAAACTGCACAAAAGTCTGTGTGTGTGGATGTCCGTTTCATGCTTTTCTGTTTACTCAGTGCTCAACAATGAGGTATATTCATGAACAAAACAAATGCTTTGGCACGATCATAAACTCCATCAGTGTTCTTCTCCTCAACACTGCAAACATTTCTGGCTTTTGTCTGTGTGTGTACACCCTCAGTAGCTAACCCATGCATTAAATACTGTATATTATAATATAACATATTACAATATGTTTCCTTCCAATCAACTCTAGACAGTCTGGCCTTTTTTCCCTCTGACCTCTGGCACTGACAAGGTATTTTTCCCCATAGAAATGCCGCCCACTGGAGGTGGCCTTTTTTTGGACCATCCTCTCTAAATCCCCCGTAAGCTTGAGTAATAGAATTCCACTAGATCTTTACAAAATGCTTACATCAGCACATCATTGGTAATATACCAAAAATATTGCCATCTCACCATTATCCATCCTTCTGATCCTCTGTTTGATCTTCAGTATTTATTTTTGCCTCATAGCAGTATAGTATGGATATTATTATAATTGAAATGAAAATATCTTGATAGTATTATTACGATTTTTATTTTATAAATAAGAACATGATTAAGCAACATAAAAAGGTTAGATTGTTTTGAATGTGTAATGCTAGATAGCCTTTTCTGCATAGCGGAAACGGTGGCGTTTCCCCTCCGAGTGAGGCATCCTCACGTGATCAGACGAGCTTCGTCACAAATATGGCGGCGCACAAGTGAATGTCAGGCCGTCGTAATTTTATATGCTATTATTTGAAAAATATTTGTGTTGAATGTTGCTAATGTCATTGCCGCACAGGTGAATTTGCACTCACTTCCCTCGGACTACACAGCAACGGTACGACCTCTAATTACTTTATTCTGTAGCTACAGTTAGCATTGTAGCAAATTAGCCAGCAGATCCAGAGAAATCCATGATGCAACAAGAACAACAGCTTAGAAACGTAAGTCATATTCACATCCACGTCGAGCTTTGGTGACGTTTGTCGTAACATAATTCGTAATTCTTAATTGTGTCTGAAATTTGTCTCGTGTAGTTGCGGGATTTCCTCATGGTTTACAACCGGATGACGGAAACCTGTTTCCAGAGATGCACCAGCAACTTTAACTACAGGAATCTGACCATGGAGGAGGTAAACTCGGATAGAATCCTAACCTTTTTGCTTTATTGGATGTGTGTGTTTATATATATACAGTCAATCGCCGCTGCTCTGTTATTCTGTTCATCATTGCCAAACAAATTGAAATGCATTGTCAAAATGTCTGTGATTGTCACGCCATCATATTGATTTTCAAATAATCATTTCTGTAAATATATGACTTTTTATACCATACTAATTTGTGTTGTCCACCCAGGAGCGCTGTCTTGACAGCTGTGCGGGGAAACTGATCCGCACTAACCACCGCCTCATGGGCACCTATGTAGACTTGATGCCAAAAATGGTACAGCGTCGGATGGAGGAGATGGAGACCAAAGCTGCGGAGAATGCCAAGGCAGCTGAGGCAGCGGCTGCTGCATCTAACGGACTTCCAGCTCCAGAGGATGCCACGGCAATTCAAAGCCCTGTCACTTCATCTGCTCCAGGGGAGCAAATACCTACCCCTCTACCTTCAGCAGTTGGTGAAGTTGAACTAGACGCAAGTGTAAAACTTGCAGGGGTAAATATTCCACTGGGACTGGACGCTGCTATATCCAAATCCACAACAGCTACAGATGTCACTCTGTCAGCAGCTACAGCAGTAACACCTGCAGCTGAAGCAGTAAATATTATAGTTCATAATAAGGTGGAGAGTGAACCGTCCTATGTAGCAGCTCTGCCACAGTTGTCCATAACTGGAGCCCAGATTGAGTCTGGAAGTTTTCAATCTGGAATTATACATCCTAAACCAGTCTCCTTAGTTGAAGACATCTCAGTGTCAGTAGTCTCTGCACCTACAATATCACAACAGGAGAGGGCACCAGAGGCACCAGGTCACCAGGGTCTGATCCAAATAGCAACCGCAAACAAGCTGAAACCTGATGAATAAGTCATCACAGCTTAATGTGATGATTTTCTCAGTGTTACTGAAAAGAACTAAGTTGTGAAATCTCTTCTACAACAAAAAAACACCAGGCAGTGGCAGGAATGGACTTGATGCTGGACTTTGAGAAGCCAAGGTGATTTTTGTGGTAATATAAAAAATATTTGAATCATGTAAATATTTACTTTTTGTCATTAGCCAACAACACTCAAGCGTCACTAAACATGAAAGACTATACTTCTGCTGGATGTGCTGGTGAAGCAGCAGCGTGAGAGCGTAAATTCTCCTGTTGTGGGTGTGAACCCTGTTGACATATCGTCACCTCCTCCCATCATTTCCTGTCAAAGCTCTGTATTTCATGTTTATCTGTGGTGCAATAAAAGCCTTATTGAGTAATCCTAAAGCAGCATTCCCACTAACTTTACTTAAGGCCTACAAACCTTGTAATAAACACTGGTATTTTATAAAATAGATGTGAACACAGTTAATACAAAGCACAGTTCTGATAACAATGGCGGGCCGACATCCTGTGTTTTGTCATAATAACAAACATTATATTCTTTCAGGAAAGGCACTATGAAGTGGTATTTGAAAATACACTCAAGAAAACAAGCGTATTATGCAAAAATCAATTAGTGGTTTGTAGGATTGTATTCGGTTAAACCTGTTATTGCTTTTTATTTGTTTTCCCATTTGTTTTTCTACAGGATTATAATCATCCATCGGTTACAAAATGAACCACCTGACCAGGGAGCGTGAAGCAACTTAAGTCTTTCCTAGACAGTAAGAAATATATAAAAATCTATCAACCAATTATTAGCATCATCATTAACTTGAATAAAATTGACTTGACTTGAACTGAAACACTCCATTGTCCTTTTGCCTGCAAAAGTAAAGCATTACCAAAAGCTGACCATAGTTAGCACTTTCACAAATTGAACTAAAGTGTCTGTTTTGAATGGGAATATTTTTACTTTCTGTGCATATGATTTCTATTTTCAAACTCAGGGCCTGACCAGAAAAGAATATCGTTCACATAACTCTACATACCGTTCTCCACACCGCACACCACTGCTGAGGCCTTTATAAATACTCTGCACCTACTTTCTCTACTACTCTGACCCCGCTGTCTTTATTTACGTCTCGATGAGTAGCGTTGCTGCATTTTCTCCACCAGGGGTCCCTATTGTGCGACTGCCTCAATGCTGGTGCGCCCCCAGTAGCAAATCGGCTTTAACTCCTCACCAGTAGCCGACATCAGCTCTGAGGAGCGGGGCGTGGACTCAGACTAACCATTCTCTGCCCTTAAATTTGAGCGGAGGACCGACGAGGGAAAAAACACAGAAACCCGACAAGACTTCGACTGTCCTGCTGCTGGTAAGAGTTTTGTTTTTTGTTTTGAGCGAAAATGGTGGGCGGTGTTGGGATAAAGGGCTTTCTTTTCAGGATGTTCAACTTTACTTTGACTACTTTTAAACAATAGAGTTGAAAGTGGGGAGACAGGCCAGCCCACAGGACTGCAGTCAGGGAGATGAAGTCAAGGGGAAATGTGGGATGTTCAGTTATTTCAGTGCTGAGACACAGTCTGACTCAGTCACTGTACCAGACTTTTTAAATGGATCGGTCTGGAGTAGATGAGTTTGAATGAGTCAAAAGCTCGGTTCGGACTTTAGTAGAGGTTTTCTTTCGTTTTTTTTGGTCAAATATCAGACTTTAACGTTTTTTATCCAATAAAAGTATTTCTACTTGTGCTACATTTCCGTTTTGTATGATGTAAATGTATGCAGTTTCCCCTTTTTTGTTGGACTTTTAGTTTTCTCTGTATCTTGTTAGGTACAGAACAGTAATACTTATAGTTTATTCCCTTAAATTTCAAGTTTTTTTTTCCAAAGTAAAAGTAGTATAATATTTATAGACCTTTTTATTGACCTATACAGTTACAGCCAATATAAATATTTATGCTAGTATTCATTTTGGAGTATTAGTTTGGCGAATAGTTACTTTTTAAGTGTCATTCTGTCAGATATTTTGCCCAAAGTCTGATTAATTCCCGACCTTTGACGCGGGTCAACTCAATAAACGGGAGGATTTGGAGGGTCAAGAATCACACATGAACTGGGTCTACTGTACATTGCCTGCTTATGTTAGCCCCTGACTAGGAAGGTACATTGTTGACTGTGTGGTTCTTTAACAGCCTCTGCAGCCTACATGCTCCTGATCTTGAGTCCTGTGAGGTCACTGACAGTACAGCATGGATGACATCTTCACACAGTGCAGGGAAGGAAACTCTGTGGCCGTTCGTCTGTGGTTGGACAACACAGAGAATGACCTCAACTTAGGGTGAGCAGAAATGAACTTGAACTACACCTACCTTACTTAGTAAAGTGGTGGAGTCTCTATTCTATTCTATTCTATTTAGTAAAAAAGAGCTGCAACTAGCTACTCTTTGATTTTTTTCTCTTAATAAAATATTAAAATATATGAGTTAAAGTTTCTGCTCTGACATCTTCAAGTGTCTGAAAGTCAATAAAAAATATTCATTCACTATTACTGAGGAGTGAAGAAGCCAAAACTTCTGTTTTGGCTTCTTCACAGTTTTTTGGTTTCAAAAGCAGCACTTAGGATAATAAGTGAAGATAATTAATCAGAGCTTCTACACCATAATCTGTAATAACTGGAGCAGATTTGAGATCAAATGCAGCACATTTGGGGTCTGCTGCTAGGTGTGTGCATATGAAGTTATCCTCTGCTCAAATAGTTTCCATATTGTGCGTTCCCTGCAACACCACATACTGCTGAACGTCACCAGCTTTGGTAATTCCAGTCCAGTTTGTTCTTTTTCCCCCTCTCTTTTTGGATTTCTCTCCTCATGATGTCATCCCCCAAAACTCTGTGTGTGTGTGTCTAAATGATGTGGTGTGTGATTATGGGAAGCTTTGTGGTGACATCACAGACACAGGCAAGTTATTATGAGAAAAACCAACACTAATAAACTGGAAATCACACACAGTCCTTAACATAAATGACTGGATCTGTGTAAGATAATTAATCAAAAGTAAAATCTGATTATAATGTTACAAATTAAGTAACTTTACAGGGGAAAACAAATTATAGTACTTTCACAATATCTGCGTTCTGCCTCATTCCCAACTTGTGACATTATCTGATTAGAACATCTCTTTTAAATGAAAAAGATTGATAATGATGAGTTGTACTGCTTTTGATTTACTCCAAGTGTTGAAATATTCACAGCTCCTCCGTCTGTTTACATAACTCCTGGCTGGGCCCTAGCCTGGAGCTCACTACTAAAGACCTTGGTTATCTCATTCTTGGGCCAGGCCATATATGTGCAGTTTGTTGACGTTGACATTGAGGGCTGCAGAGCTGCGAGCCAACCACACAACAGCCAAGACCATTTCCTCTCTTCAACTCCATACAGGGCCAGGCCCTTTGCTGACAGAGCTTCTCAGGCAGTCAGAGCTGCAGTCCCACATAAACATCTGAGAGAGCTCTCATTATGCTGGAGGCCTGCTTTTGACTCGTACTCTGAAGAGGCTCTACTGTGTGTGTGTGTGTGTGTGTGTGTGGAGGAGCCTTTGTTGGTGTCACAAATAGGTGTTTTATATACTGAAAAATACATGGCTGTGTAGGAATTACATTTATAGACATCCCCCAAGGAACAAACAACACAGGAAATCCCATTATCCCAGGATCCCATCATGTTTTTTTTTCTACTCTGTCATTCCAGAGTTTTTTCCTGTCACTGTTTATAGCACACTGACTCTTCAATGGTCCGTGGACATGGCCAGAAAATGTAACAAACTGTTATTTCACATAAGTGTGAACTACCAGTGCGGCAGCCCCCGCCCCACATACGATCCGAGCCCTGTGGAGTTTTACTGTCAAATATGGTGTGAAGTTTGTGGCTTTGCAGGGACCTGTGAGAAACCCCGGCAGCTGCTCTGGGGTCAGCTACTGTAAAGGAATCAAGAGGGTGAAAGGGCCAGTCGCACACAGGTGATGTTTTGGCTCCTTGTGGCCTGAAGCAGTGACACGTACACTGTCCTGAGTGTTTGTGTCTTCGCATATGTTAGCAGCCTCTCCGGCTCGCGCGGACATATTTCTCACCAGGCCAGTCATCAGATGTGTCTAAATAAAGAATGGAAGGTAGTGAGTGTGAGAACCTGTGTGGCAGTGGGTCAGAGAGCCACACAGATAGTGTTTTGTCAGCTGATACATACTTGGAGTTGTTGGGAGAGCTCACCAGCACCACTGTAGATCCCTATCTACTCAAAACATTTAAACTGGACTTAAAGAATGTTATGCTCCGGTGTCTCGTGGTGGGCCATGCCTGCTTATTATATTTTAGCCAAATATGTGGCAAAAGTTTTCCAGTGCAGCTCCTACTTAATGACAAAGGAATTATCCTAATAACTGGAAAATGGAGCACTTCTGTGATTCAAATTACTCTTTAATGTGGCCCTTCATTATTTTCTCAGCAAAATTAAACTCAAGTTGCCAGAAAAGCAAATTGAAAGAAATCTAAAGATCTAAGATCAGCTGACAGGCTCCACAAATTATAGAAGATTATTGGCACATCAGTCTAAATGACACAAAGCTAGTCTCCATGGTTACATGACAGTCAGTAAAGGTTTAGTTACTCTTCATATGATGAAAATGCATTTAACTTTGTACAGTAAATTACAATGACACAGAAAATGGCCAGAAAAAAATAGAAGAATGAGTGGAAAGTTCAAGTTCTCGAATATTTGTCCAATAGGACGCAGTGTTGAAACAAATAAATCAGGCCAATTGTTGTTTTTAAACTCTTGAAAATTATAGATATATTTATGATCTTTTTTTTTAAAATGTATTTTGTGTTTTGTATTCCAGGGATGACCATGGCTTCAGCCCTTTGCACTGGGCCTGCAGGGAGGGTAGGAGTGGTGTTGTTGATATGCTCATCATGAGAGGTGCACGCATCAACGTAATGAACCGTGGAGATGATACTCCACTGCACCTGGCTGCCAGTCACGGACACAGAGACATTGTGGCGAAGGTATACACAGTCTGACATGTGGTTAGGGATCATTGTAAAACACTGCGTGGAATGTGATTTTTTTTGTAGTTGTGCAGGAGAAGGAAAAATCGACATAATTTCTTTACATGGTAAAATCTTGGTAATAAAAACTTGTTACTCTTTAACTTTGTATTCCTCAATTTCCAGTTGATCCAGTGCAAAGCTGATCCTAATACATTTAACGAACATGGAAACACACCACTTCACTACGCCTGCTTTTGGGGTCAGGATGAAGTCGCAGAGGTACGAACAGCTACAGATACGCTTAAGTAAAACGTGGTCATAACAAATCCAATGTTGGAAGATATGCAATTCGAATGTTGCTCTATTCGCTCCTTTTCTTCAGGACCTGGTGGCCAGTGGTGCCCAGGTGTGTGTGTGTAACAGGTATGGACAGACACCTCTGGACAAGGCCAAGCCTCACTTACGACAATTACTTCAAGGTCAGAGCCAGTTTCTGAAAATATGAAAAAAAAAAATCACCATGTCAGACAAAACGACTATTGTTTCTCATTATGTGGCAACTTTCTCTGTGTGTGTTTTTAGGAAAGGCAGAAAAATTGGGCCAGAATTTGACCAAGGTCCCCTACAAGGAAACTTTTTGGAAGGGCACCATGCGAACAAGACCTCGTGAGTCGTGGCCTGTGTTATTAAAAAGTAAACAAAGGTATTACTTTCAATCACAACAACTCCTTATTTATTACTGTGCTGCTCTTTCAGGTAATGGTACCATCAACAAGCAGGCTGGTATTGATTATAAGCAGCTTTCACTCTTGGCAAAGATCAATGAAAACCAGTCTGGAGAGGTTAGTGTGTGTCGATGTGTCTCATTTTTTCCAGCTCTCTTGCTGAGTTTCCTGCTCTAACGCCCTCGTTTTGAGGCCTTTTTATTCAATAGATTGCTTTGTCCACAGTTATGGCAGGGTCGGTGGCAGGGAGATGAGATTGTCGTGAAGGTGCTACAGGTGAGAGACTGGACCACGAGGAAGAGCAGAGACTTCAATGAAGAACATCCCAAACTCAGGTTTTTACCTTTACTATATTTCCTGTTGTTTCATGTACAATTGTTGGTGTTAGTTTAACGGCACCTCGGGGAAAACGTGGTGTCAGAGTGTGAACTTACCAAAACAGAAGCCGTTACATTTGGCTTTGGCTGTTTTTCCAGTTGGGCTCCATCACAGATGGGTGAACGTCAGGCTAACTTGAGTTTGTATGTGATTGATTGGTGGTAATTGAGGTCAGTGGTGGAGAAGAAGTTAGAAGCTTGTGCAATGAACGGAGTATTTATTGTCAGAGGTCAAAAGTATGGGCTCCGGTTGGTATTGTGGTGAAGTTTTCCTTGGCCTTGTTTACTGTGTCGTGATCTTCTCTGTAATGAGAAAAACAAATCCCACACTTCTCCTGTTAGCAGACATAAAATACATAATGAAATAACATCTGTCATAATTAAATGGAAGCGTGTTTATTCTGGTCATTATGGCCTTTGACTTATGTTGATAGCGAACCAAACATTTAGATTCAAGACAAATACTGACTGTCTTTTTCATCTGATTAACAAAATACAGAGGTTATAGTTTGTGAGATGAGCTTAAAGTCATCTCAAACAAGTTAAGACAGAGTTTTACGGCATTTCCTGAACCAGTGCTTATATAATTATGGCTGTGGACCTGACATGTCCCAGAGAAACTACTCACAAGAATGTTGCTAATATTTTGGTTGATAAATAAGAGTAGTCGAAACTAAAAAAGAGAGGTCTGACACAGCTTCTGGTTTATACCATAGGTTTTTACTACAGTTCAATAAAGAGTTTTCAAGCTTCATGACCATTCTTTATCTTACTTTTTCAATGTGTGGTTTCCCTCCAAATTGTGAGCTGGTTATTTCCTTATCAGCTATGAAAGACTTCCCTAAAGGAGGAAGAATTGTTTTCCTCTCTGAACCCCCCGCCCCCCTCACTCGCCACTATAAATGCTCTCTGTATATGTTCTATCTCTAAGGATATTTTCTCATCCAAACATCCTGCCTGTTCTTGGAGCCTGTCAGTCGCCCCCATCCCCTCACCCTATCATCATCACTCACTACATGCCATATGGATCTCTCTACAACATACTCCACCAGGGCACTAGTGAGTATTTTAAACTCACTGTTGACTTGGATGTTAATGACTAAATTGCCACATGTCTGCTCTGGTCCTTCTACATTACTTTAAACTGTGTGTATGTTCCAACTCACCTGAAAACTTATCTTTGTACGTATCTGTATTCTACTTGTCTTTATCTGCCCTCAGCTCTGGTGGTGGACCAAAACCAAGCAGTCAAGTTTGCCCTGGAAATTGCCAGTGGCATGGCGTTCCTCCACACCTTAGAACCAATGGTTTCACGGCTTTACCTCAACAGCAAGCACATCATGGTGAGTACTAACGACGATCGGTTAAGAGACCGCACAGTGCGTCGCTAATGTGATTCATTTGCAGATTGATGAAGACATGACAGCCAGGATAAGCATGGCAGACGCAAAGTTCTCCTTCCAGTGTCCGGGTCGTATGTACTCCCCTGCGTGGATGGCTCCTGAAGGTATGTTGTCCTTGTTTTCGTCTTGACTCCTCTTTAGTGCATCTATGTTCTCCCTCTGAGGCCTATTTGTATGAGTCATTCTCCTAAATATATGCTGGAAGATACTGTGTAATTTAATGTACCTCTGGAGTGGTAGTTCTGCTATTTATCTAAAATGTTGCCTGGGTTATTGTATAAAAAGAAATACTTTTAAATCGTATTCCTATTTATTTAAGTTTTTAGAAAATACATCGTTTCAGTTATAGGAATCTGATTTTTTTTTTATCTGAGGTCAGGTCCTGTCTGTCTATTAATGACTTTTTGAAGTTGTCTTATCACTCTCCAACTATGTAGTGTGCATGACTTGGGGGTTACTGTTGGTTAACACCAGGCATGTTATACACTTCAGTCTTCTGCAGGGGTGCTGCAAATTTAAATATTTGTCATTGGTGTCATTAAATTAGTTTGATATAAATTAAATTTTCTTAGTCAATACTTTCCATATTAAAAAGGTACAACATACATCTGAGTCAGTTGTTTATAACAAACGGCTGAGGCTAGAAATTGTGCTGACCACCTACTCGTGGGTGAAGCTGCACACCTCCAACAATAACATATTTCAGCTCCACAGTTGTCCCATTTATTCTACACCAACAACTGATGATTCTTTATTACATCCTATAATTATTTAATTATACACAAAGATTTTAATTTGTCATGACCTGTAGATTAATATAGCTCCATAAAAAAGGTGGACTACTTTTGTATGTTTTTGGCTTTATATTTTTAGGAAATCCTACAAAGTCCTTTTTATTAACCTCTATTACATAATACATTGTATTGGCAAAAACACACTCTTCCATGCTGGCTTCCCGTCCCTGGTTCTCTGGACCTTATTGATGTGTTGTACAGTTTTAGCCTTTGCATATAAATAACTCAACCCACCAGCTCCAACCTTTTCCTTCTTAAACTGCCACATGCACCGTCCATGACACTCAGGTCTGCTGACCAGATGCTTTTAGGTGTGTCCATGTCAAGGCTGAAGCACAGAGGAAACTGCTTATTTAGCATGCAAAGCCTAAAACTAAATCCATTTTAAAGTACTATGCTACTGATTTTTTGAAAGGCTTAAAAAATAAAACAAATCAAGAAATTGGTCTAAAAAATTGTAGCTGTGTGCTTATTTGTGTTTAAAATTGAGAAAACCTATTTTTTATGTCAATCATTGATCAAAAGACACATTCAAGACTTATAATTTTCTGAAAAAGTAAAGAAAAAAATCAATATAAATGCAATAATTTGTCTCCACACATGTAACAAAATGCTTATTTATGATTAATTTCTTCGTATGTCAACAATTGATCGAAGGTAATTTACTTAATTGTGTTGCTCCATTTTTAGGCTTGCGATACTTCCAAACAGAAAATCCAATGTTGTTTGTTTGGGTCAAGGGTCTGCAAATTCACAAAAACAAATTCAGAGCAGTGAACATAATCAATAAACAGTTTGGTTTGACTTTAGCCTTGCAGAAGAAGCCTGAAGACATCAACAGGAGATCTGCTGACATGTGGAGCTTTGCTGTGTTACTATGGGAGCTGGTCACCAGGGAAGTGCCCTTTGCTGACCTCTCACACATGGAGATAGGCATGAAGGTAAACCAGTGGTGCATCTGTCTGCACAATGCCAACATAAAACTAAACATCCAACCTTCTACATTGTATTTTTCATCAGGTGGCTCTCGAGGGTCTTCGACCTACCATTCCCCCAGGGATCTCACCTCACATTTGTAAACTAATGAGACTCTGCATGAACGAAGACCCAGCCAAGAGACCAAAGTTTGACATGATCGTCCCCATCCTGGAGAAGATGCAAGACAAGTGACGAGACAGTTAATCTGCAACAACTTTTACACTTTTACTCTTCTTTTTTTTAATAATCAAACCACTTTTAGCCTTCACTACAACAATGTATCTGCTCAGCTGCTGTAAATAATATTAGAGACCACTTTAGCTCCACGGATGAAGATGCTTTACTTGTATTATTTAAATTGAGATAAAAATGATCTTTGGTGTACACATGAGCTATTTTATTGTATACCTTGTTAAGATAGTTAGGACTTTATGTGTGGTTTTGCAAGTTGATGACACATAGTCAGTGCTGGGCTAAGAAAACACGCAGACACATGAACACTTCATCTTCACTGGGGTTGGGAGTTTCTAAGTAAATTGATTTTCTTCTAGGACTGTGGTGCAAGAGATTAAGAGACTCACAAACAGACAAACTTTTTTTTAGGTTTTCCAAATTTCAGAACATGTTTTATTGGGTTTCCCCTTTGTCCGTTTCTGTATCTATATTTTTGGATAAAAGTTACCTACATGTCCTTGGCTGCTTCTTTGCCCAGGACTCCAATAAGGTTAAAACTTAAATTTTAAATATGCACAAACAATTATGATAGCTATGTGTCAGTAGCCTGAAAGCTGATTAAAAGAATTGTGTGTAAAAAAAATCCCGGCTATATACACATGCCAACAAATGCCAATGCAATAAATCTTTATATTTATAAAAATCCATATTTGTTTTATTTAGTTTATGTTTGCATTATTTAAAATATATAGAAGTAGAAAATCTTCAAAAATTGTCCTTTTTATTTAAACTATTCAAATAAATTGATTGAATTCTGACTTTAATCTTAAAAAGTAAGAAAAAGACACTCGAATCTTACGATTTGTAGAAAATTAAATAATTATGTCGTTTATGTCTCATTGATATTTGTTTTCTCCTAGAATTGTAAAAACAGGGACAGAATAAAATAAGCATACGCGGCGTTTCCATGGCTTCATAACAGCGACGCAAGAAGGGAAGAAAGGATCACGTGACACGTCAGCTGACTAGTTCTCAAAACCCTATTACTCTTTAGCGCAAACAACAGTGACCACAACAGACAACCCGCTGCCGCAGAGTAAGCAGAAGGAGTATTCTGCCTCATTTCCTTCACTGTTAACGGAGGTTTTAAAGGGGACCTTCTAGAACCTTCTAACTTGTCTGTGTTCGCCGCTCTCGGGCCCCACGACGAAGACGACCCAGGTTTCCGGTTATTTTTGAGGTAACCAACTCGTTTTTATCCAGTTTTTCCCCCTTAACCCTTCACTTCCTGCCCAAAGCTTATTGTCTGTGCCTGCGAGTTCGCGTAGGAGTCATTATTGGTCATTCAGTTTTACTGTGAAACAGCAGTGTTTACGTGTCTGAGTAACTTCCTCTGTCATGTTTGTTCTCATCCTCCACAGACGCTGCCGCAGCATCGGATAACCGCCTCTCTGAGAACACCTGCTGGCCGGACAATGAAGGTCTCCACTCTGCAGACGTTGTCCTGCACTGCGGTGCTGCTGCTCCTGCCCCTGTTAACCAGCTGCCACCCGGCCACGGCTCCTCAGAGCTCAGACCAGTCCAGCCTGGTGCTCATACAGCTGAACAACCCCGCTCTGCTCGGCTACAACTGGAAAAACGTCAGCTGTCATCTGTGCAAAGCCCTCTTCACCATCCTGGATGTTGCACTTCTGGTAATAGATGTCATTTTGTGATGTTTTGATGAATTGAATGTTGATATTTCATTACTGGACTGTTTTTAGAGGAAGTTCGAATGTTTCAAACACTCAGTAAGTTGTTTCTTTCAATTTCTTTAATCCCGTTTCATATCTGTCTTCTCTCTCTCAGAGTAATGTTAATGAAGAGCGAGTGGCCCAGGCTGTGGGAGAGGCATGCATCCGTCTCCATCTGGCTGAGGAAGAAATTTGCAGGGAAATAACAGAGCTGTTTAGGGACGACTTCATCCGGGCTCTGCAGGAGTCAGTGTTGTGGCCAACTGAAGCGTGTGCCATTCTGGTGGGCCCTGCCTGTGGCAAATTTGACATATACGCCCCCTGGAACCTCACCCTACCAAAGGTCCCAAAGCCCCCGGTGACACCACCTTCTCCCCCCAAACCAGGTTCTCCACAGAGCAGGGTCCTGTTTTTGACTGATGTTCACTGGGACAAAGTAAGTGTTGACTGCACACAGATTTCCTGAAGAATGATTCACTGTCTGATGGCTAGAAATTTCTGGGAAATTCATTCATCTTAGTGATTACTGTTATAGTACAAAAACCCTGTAAATTGCCTTTGTGAATGTTTCACATTATGATAACTGACATCATTTTGATGACATTGCTTTGTTGAAATTTTAGTCTTAAAAAAATACCTCTTCTCTGACAGGAGTATGAAACCGGCAGCCCTGCAGACTGTAGAGATCCTCTGTGTTGTCGGAAAGACCTGAACACCCATCGCTGGGGGAGGCGACAGGCTGGGTACTGGGGAACCTACAGTAAGTGTGACCTTCCTCTGCGCACAGTGGAAAACCTTCTGGAAAATGCTGCCAAAGCTGGGCCCTGGGACTGGGTCTACTGGACCGGAGATATACCAGCGCATAACGTCTGGTCCCAGACCAGGAAACAACAGCTGACTGAGCTCAGGGTCATCTCCAAACTCATTCAAAAGTAAGTATTGCTGTATAATATTAATTTTTCTAGTTGTTTCGTTCTCCTGTTCTTTCGTACCTGGTTCAAGACTTTAGCCAGTTAATTTGCTGGAGTCAAACCTCACAGAATGTTCTTTGAATGGTCTTTTCAGTCTTATTTTCTTCTTATTTGAAGTGTGTTGGTTCATATTTTAAGTGTTTTATTTGTTGGGGAAAACAATAAAAAAAAAAAAACATTTTCTGTTTTCCAAGTGAAGCACCAAACAGAGATGTTTAATTTGAACTTTATTGTAGTGTTTGTAGATTTAACACTATTTATTTTTTTCATTTTATAAAAAACCTTGTTGATGTGATTGTTTGTCAAATATACAGTGCATGTGGGGTACCACTGGGACGTCTCATTTCGACACAAAGTCCTTGTACTTTGGCACTCGTGACTTTTTTTTTGCTTCTACTTTGGTCTCCCTTTTTTGTCATGTGTTATCTGGAACTGAACCCAACAGCTGTTGTTGACTCCCGTCTTCCTCCTGTCCTTTGTCCACAGACACCTGGGAGCTAATGTGACGGTTTATCCTGCTGTGGGCAACCATGAGAGTACACCAGTCAACAGTTTCCCTCCACCTTTTGTTCATGGAAACAGATCCTCCTCGTGGCTCTACGACACCATGGCACAGGAGTGGTCAGTGTGGTTACCGGAGGAGGCTTTAAAGACACTGAGGTTATTAAAGTTCAAGTTCTTTCTCCATCCTGATGTAGAATTTATGTAGAAATGTATGTATTAGTTGATTGTGTTTTTTATTTTATTTTAATGTTCAATCCAACAGTCATGTGATTCTATCCACCTCTGTGACTGCACTTACAGATACGGGGGGTTCTACTCAGTGGAGGTTGAGCCTGGTCTGAGGCTGGTCTCTCTCAATATGAACTTTTGTGCTCGAGAAAACTTCTGGCTGATGGTGAACTCCACTGACCCTGCTAACCAGCTGCAGTGGCTCGTCCATGTTCTTCAGGCCAGTGAGGACAAGGGGGAGAAGGTTAGTGGAGCGACAAACACAGGATGTGACACAAACGGTTTATTGGCCAGTTAATCATTAACGTCTGCAAGAAAGACTTTAGGGGATGTAATAAGTGTAAAACAGCACTTTGTGGAGTCATAATGAGGCAGGCAGTCATGTTAAATGTTAGCCACAGACTTCTTGATACATCTTGATCCTTTTTTACTGTCTTCCATTATCCTAACCTCACATGACTAGCACTGCATGAAGAAATGCTTTTTATTGCAGTGAGAACACTACTTGTAAAGTAACTCTCTCTCTTTGGTGGTTCTCTTTCTTTTATTTAGGTACACATCATTGGTCACATCCCTCCTGGATTGTGTCTTGGCAGCTGGAGCTGGAACTACTACCACATTGTCAACAGGTAAATCTACAACCTTAAACCCTGTAGCTGATAGATTTCAAATGTAGACTTCAGTATCAAGAGATTCAATTCATTCATAAGAGCGCTGAGTGAGTTAAAGGTACAGCAATATTGAGTATCTGATTTAAAACTTTATTTTTCAAGTTTGTGGGAAAACTTCCTTTAGATAGAATTAAGGAACATAGAGTTATTAAACTGTTTTTATTTAAAAACTATCTACATTCTGTAAATGTATGTAGTTTTATTTTTGCTAATAGAAAAGTTTATAAATGTTTTATGTTTTTTAGTCTTTGGCTAAAAAGATGACCTCAGTGTCACTGTTGGGTTAGTTTCAATCTTAGTTGACAGGTGGCAGCAGAGGGAACAAAGGTACACATTTCCTGTAATAAGATGTTTTTCCTATGAAAACATTTCAGTTTCTGTTCTCTGTCAACGTGACATCCTGTAAATTGTAATTGCAGATATGAAAGCACAATTACTGGGCAGTTTTTTGGTCATACACATCTGGATGAGTTTGAAATGTTTTATGATGAAGCCACCATGACCCGCCCACTGGGAGTGGCTTTCATCGCTCCTAGTGTAACTAGTTATATTGCGCTTAACCCAGGTGAGTTCATGTTAACAACTAGAGAGGAAAAAAAAATTTATAATAACAATAAGAATAACAACAACGCGAACAAAAAAACCCAACAAATCTCTCTACTACAGGATACCGTGTTTATTATGTTGATGGGAACTATCAGGGCAGCTCACGGCTAGTGCTCGACCATGAAACCTATATCCTCAACCTCACCACGGCCAACTCCAGTCCAGGAAGTGTACCAGTTAGTCCAGATCCAAACCCAAAATGGACTCTTCTGTACCGAGCCACTGAGGCCTACGGAGTTTCTACTCTGTTCCCCTCAGATTACCACGCACTGATGAAGACATTTATTAGGGACGATAAGGTTTTCCAAAAGTATTGGTACTTAAGGCACAAAGGACATGTCTCAAAACCGTGTATGGAGACCTGCAAGACCACCATACTTTGCACATTGCAAAGCGGGCGTTCAGACGAGCTGGTGAAATGTGATCTCCTCAATGGTTTTGGAGGAGATCTGGCCAAAGCTGCCAGGAGAACCCTATGTTGAGGTCACAACATTTAATGCTTGAATAGAGGAAAAAAAGAGACCAAATGTCTAAAGCCTGGGGTTGTGGCCTTTACAGTGTCTGTTGTGTAAGAACAAAATTGTGTGTAGAATGATCCATTTGCTGCTGCGTGCTTTGTGTAAGGGTCAGTAATTCTGATGAACCCGATTCATTCAGTGTTACTGTGCTGTTTTATCAGTATTACATAAGTAAAGGTGATCATGATAGATTATTGTTTTATCAGTATTATATAAGTAAAGGTGATCATGATAGATTATTACAAAATTCGGTTTATCATTCCATTTTGAATATTTGGACTTGTTTAAAATCTTCCTCATAATGGTGATTTATGTGACTATGTTGTGATCAACATAAATGAGAATCAGCACTTTACGTCTGCACTTTCTTTCAGTTCAATTCTTTTGTTGAAGATTAGTGAGACCAAGTCAGTTAGATCCAAGGTGTGGCATGTATGTTGTGAGCTTCTCAGGTCTTGATCTGCATTATGTGACTGTTGGGGTAGCTTGATTATGACAGGAAGTCTCACAAATGATCCACAGGATGATGGGGAAGGTTGCACAATGTGTTCAAGAAATCCTCAGGTTCTCTTATGTCACAAGTGAATCTGATTTGTCTGTGAAGATGATAGGAACCAGTGGTGGTCTAGAGTAGTCTCTGGTAAAAACCTAGCTGAGCTACTGAACTACTAAAGCATGTCTGGTGTTTTTCACACCAGAAGTAACCGGATGTCATTTGGTCTGGTGTGAGCAGTGTTCCTCCTGTCTGTTACAGTAAGGCATCAGTCCTGTTGCAGGTTAAAGACCCTGGCATAGACATGTAAAGTCCACAGCTGCATGACTCTGCTTGGTCCCACAGCTGTGCGGACTGTGGAAGGCACCTCCTTACAGTATATAGGCTACCAGTAATGCTACCTAATCTCCCTCAGTAGTTAGGTAGAAAATGAATTCTTAATAAAACAATTTGCCCCGAGGATGATAAGAGTAAAATTCCTGTGACCTCAAACCCATTAAAATCCTTCAGGTTGTCTTTTTTTGTGCATCTCTTGTGGAACTGTCATCACTTTGATCTGCACCAAACTCAGGTTCAGATGATTTACCATCACTTACACTTTTCTAACCTGAAATGAGTCTCTGAAACGGTGAAGCATAATTGTTCTTTTAATTTTTTTGAAATGCTTTTTGAGGTGTTTGTGTGGACTTTTATCATACAAAATAAAAGTATTTGGAGTTTAATAATTGTCATAGTTTTTTCTTCACACTTCAGTGGAAGAAAAACTAGATTTCATCTCACATGCTCTATTAAACAATTGCTCCTCACTCAGTCATGACAAACAAACACGTTTACGGGGCTGCAAAGTACACGGTGACACCAAAGTCTTGCCTGTAAATTTCCCAGGTCTTGGGTTTGTGCGGGTTGTCCAGTTCTTCTCTTGGTAGAAAAAGCCTGAGGAGGAGTTCAGAGAGAGTTTGAGTCATTTCAACTTTTAAAATGAAAACAAAGAAAGAAAATCAGTACAAGTGGCTCATACTTCATATTCTTTACAAAGGAGGTATTGAACCAGAAGAAGAACGGAACATCTTCGTATCCTTTTGGAAGACTCTTAAAAAAAAAACGATGATGAAAGAGAAAACAGAATCAGAAGAAAATCCATACAAAACGGTGTTGGATTTGTCTTTGTCAAATGGCATGAACGTGAAGAACTCACATGTGACTCAAACATGACCTTTACATCTCCTTCAACCACAGGCCCGTTCTTTAGACTGATGATGACTGCGTTATTGCCCACATCAGGGAACACCTAACAATCACCACAAAAGCATTGACATTCCTAATAACAAATTATTTCTTATAATCTGATGATTATACAGATTATACAGAGTCTTACTGTGCAGTTCTCATGTCTGCTGCACACACACTGGAACACCAGTACTTTCTTCACATAAATCTTCACTTTGAAGTCACTACCATCTCCTTCGCCCACACCTGGGTAATAAAAACCAAAACAAATTAACTCAAAGCAACATTTAAAAATTATGAAACTATTTAAAATGTTTTTTAAATATATCACCTGATATGGAGTGGATCCGGATGCTCTTGATTTTCAGTTGTTTAGGTGGAGGCAGCTTCCTCTTGTAATGTGTTTTAATGGTTTCATAGTAGCCGACGTACCGACTCTGAATATGTGTAAAACATAAGCCCCATGTTTAAAAATGCCACTAGATGGTGCTCATTCTAATAAGCAAATACCTCCGCCGTTGTATTAAATTACACATCACCATATACAGTTGGAATAGAAACACAATTCAGGTACACTAGCTTTATTTAGCATTTAGCATGTATGACTGCTTTTGTAATATCGTAGAATAATTGCTCTGTTTATATGATACTATTTAAGAATGTTAAAATCTTTAATTCTCTAATTTATCTCTAAGGAGTAATCCAAAACTGTAAATCTTTAAACATGGCTCCTCAAAAGTTATCATTTTGACTATTTATTACCTGAGAGGGAGTCTCCACTCCCTGAAACTTGGAGCTGACACTCTTGTCTGTCCTCCTCTCACCAAAATACTCCAGACTGTCCTGGTGGTCAAACAGAAGTTAATTCAACAAACAGAAGATGAACTTGTGGATGTCATTTATTACTGTCATTTTTTAACTTCTTAACCTCTCAGCTACAGAGACTTACGTTTGCACTCTCAAACTGGTCACTGTCTATGAGCCAGGTGCACACCATTGTACCCGTGCGTCCTGTCAGGCAGCACAGACATGACCAGGTTACACACTTTTACCCTTCTCTCTTCATTTAGATAAAAAACAGCCTTTTGGCTTCACCTTTTCCTCCTTTGCAGTGAATTACAATCACATTTTTGGGATCGGCATTCATCCACTCCCTCACGTTGGCAGTGTAGTTCAGCATGTCCCTGACAAATGGTAAAGCAAGAGATTAGCTGGTTCAATTTTTGTCATGCTGAGAATAGGTGTGTGAAATGGGACATTACTGCAGCGAGGGGACGTTGTGGTCATCGATGAAGACCCGTTCGACTCTGTAGTGGAAGGCCTGAGGATCGTAACCCTTCTCACCTAAAAACACAAGATGAGGGAGTGTGAGGCTGTGTAAAGTGACGACACGTCTAAACATGGCATCAAAACATAGCCGTAAAAAATTCAAATCCAAGGATCAAAACCTCGATTTAGAATTTAAAAACTCTGCAGCCCTTTTCCTGGTAGTGTTGCTCTGGTTCTAGAAACCAGAAAATAAAATTCACAGAGAGGGAAACATTTCAACTATTGTTATGATCGCAGTACTGCAGTTTAGGTATTATCATTTTATTTTGCTATTGGCAAGCTAGCTGCTAATTTAGCCTCGTGTGTCTAATTGGTTTAACTAATAATAATACAAATTACAGCCTCTTCTAACCTGCTTCTAGTAAAGCACAGAAGAATAAAGTGTTACTCACAGACTGTTATTGTACCAAAACAAGCTATAGCACAATGCTACCAGACGTATGTGCGTATTTAGGTACAATATAATTACCAGATCTTTAAATACACACAGTGTATGGAGGCTACCCACTTACTGCACAGGTTGTAAACCTTATAGTGTCCGTCATGCTTAGTGTCCAGGAACCTGGCCACTTCCTGTACAGAAAAACACAAAGAAGATGGTCAAATCATGAGTGAAGGGAATGTCTTCAAAAATTAGTTGAATTGCTTTTTTTTCCTGACACTGACCCCGATTGGATTTCTGTAAAAAGACTGTTTCCCAGTAGAGGGGAAGGACATGGCAATGATGCGATCTGGAAATGTAGAGAAATCAAGTGAATAATAGAGAGCTGTGCGCCCAGTCGTCTCTGTTCAACCTATCAGTCGACACCGTTGTGCTCAATATTCACTGCAACACCTACCTGTGATGTAGGTAAGGTCAAGGTCAAAACCATCCTTTTGATAACGTCGCTTGTTCTCCGAAACCTGACAATTATGCAAGTGGAAAGAAGTGGACAATGTCACTTTTTTGTGTCCATTGCGACAAAAACAGTTCATTATACTCCAGGTTTTGACCTTACCATCCTCCTGGTGACCTTCTCGAGCTCCTTCTTTTGGGCTGCCAATCTGAAAATCCTCACGAGGATTATTATTCTCAAGAAACGGAAAAACGTGACCACTCTGAAAAAAATGACAGGAGAAACTCACATGAACACACGATTTGTTCACTTCTGGGTCTGCAAATAGGTGGTTCACGGGCCGGATGCAGACCGGGGTCTGGCATTTAAGGGTCGCATCGATATCATCTACCAGTGCAGATGATATCACTGAAGTGATTTGTCAGCTCTTACAGAGTCTGTACGGTTTGTCATTGGCTGTGAATGTATTTTTTGCCACACAAGTTAAATACGATTAACGTACAATACTGTAAGTGTACTAGGGCAGACCATGTACCTGGGGATGAGGCTGGCACCAGTCAGGTCAGTGAAGGTGTAGATCATGGTGACAATCAAGGTCACCACCACAACACAGGCGTCTATGATGTTGAGTTTGGAGCTGAAGTACACCTTAAACCTAGAAATATGGAAATCAAGGAAAAACATGATTTTAGGTCAAACTGAGTGGATCATTTCACAGATAGTGACATGTGAATTGGAGGCATCGTTTTGACCCTGAACGAGTCCGGGACATTTCCTGTCCAGCTTCCTTTTGACAACGTCCTGTTTAAGCACTAATCACAGTGGTTTTGTGCTGACACTGGATTCTCTGGCATGTTTGCATCACTCTTAGGACTCTTCTTCTGTTGTCTCGTAAAGAACCGAGTAGCACAAGAAAGCAGGTCAACTTTTTTTGGTGACATAATTTGCCACAGAAATATAGGCTATATCCAAATGTACACAAATGTTGACAGATAATGCAGAGCAGAGTTGATCACAAATCAAAGAATTCAGTCTTCCAGCAATGGTGACTCACAAAAACAAACTCTTTCACTCCCTGCACTTACGAGAAAGCCTTTGTTTCTCAACTCACCCTTCCACGTAGACCCGCAGTAGGACATCGAGCACGAAGAAGAAGGAAATGGTGAGGGACACGGCCTCTAAGGTGTCCCCCAACTCTCTGCTCTTGGCTGGCAGAGCAAAGTCCACAATCACCAGCACAATGTCCACTATGATCAGAACCAGTCCAAATATACTGTAGGACCAGACAATTAGTGACAATGCTACAAAAATCTGACATTTCTCACAGCTTCAGGACAAACATACCGAAATCCAAAGGACATGACAAACGGTGTGATCTTCTTACGGATCTTGCTGCAAAACAAGGTGACAGATGATTGTTAACAGTACAGTGGGATGTGTTTATGAGTCATGGGCTGTCTTCGAGCTGCATGAACTTACTGGTACATGGTGTCCGGTACCAAACTCTCCTCCTTTCCATCGTCGATCTTAACTTTAGCATCTTCCATCTTTGCAACATTTCTATAGACAGGAAAACATGGGAGAACAAGTGAAACTGAAGAAGCAGCAAAAAATCAAAAAATCAATCAACAGCTGGAAGTCAGCGACTGCATGACTCACCCATTCACACCTGAATCTGACCCTGGACTGAAGTGGACAGTGGACATTGTGTCTGTATCTTCCCTCACGTTGTGGCCTGAATGTTTCGTCGTTTCTGCGTTTGAGAAACAAAAGTGTGTTAAATGAGATGAGATGCTTTGAAGTAACCTTAATGAAATGGCAGTTAGCGTGATGTAGCTGAGCCTTTTGTCTAGTTTTAAGTTACTGCGTGAGGCCTTATAACCCAAAGAACACCGTACTCACCATAATAGACTGCAGAACTGTTTTTATTGGTCTTTTGTCTTTAAACAAATTTCAACCATAACATGCCTTAGGCTGCATTACCTTGGGAGAGGAGGAGGGGGGCGTGCCCAAAACAAGTGTGTTGTCATTTATTTTAATTAAATTGTTAAAATTAAAAAAAAAAAACAACAAATTTCTTCATTGACACTTCAGTTTGAGGAACCATGATTCCTACAAAAACTACTAGACCTACCAACCACAAATATGGCAATCAAAGGTTTTTCTTCTCGTTTATACCTTGAAATAGTCTCTGCGTTAAGAGAATGTAAACATGCCTATGCAGCAGGAGTGAGGAGAACTAAAGACAAAAGTTTAGAAAGTCTCCTGCAGGTAAACGAATTGATTTATTGAAATCACTTTCTACCACAGCCTTCATTGAGCATCCAGAGGTTCAGGCTTGATGTAAACGAAGCTAAATAAACAGACAAACAAACAAACAAAAAACGTACGTAGATTACTTCTCAGTTAAAAAAAGGAGACTTAAAACCAGAGACATTTAAGAAAACCTACCGACAGATTCTCAGCTCATCTGAGAGTTGAGGTCCTCAATCCTTTCCTGTCTGCGCGTCTTGCGGAACGTTGACTTACCCGCAAATAACTCCCCACAATCCCTAAGTTCTCTGCAACAACTTACCGTCAGGACTGTCATCCATGGAATTATACGACACTTTGTCTTGTGACTTCTTGTGAGATGAAAGGAAGACGGTTCAAAGGTTAACCGAGTCCATTTTTCCTGTCCGTTCACGATTCTTCATCGCTTTTGTGCAAACGTAGCGGTTTTAGACTTCCTGCTCCCCCAGCCGGCCCACTTCTACCCAACTGCGGTTTTTTACTCATCTTTCCTCATTTCAGACCACTCTACTGTGATCTGTCCCCGAACATTAGCAGCTTATTATGTCTGCATTTCTTTGCAGGAATTAAAGTTCAGAAAAATAGGCCATACGGCTGCTGCAGCTCCTTCTTCCTTCTCACACCAAACATCTGTTTTGAATTACACATGATTTACAGAGAGAAAATACGAAAAAAGAAGAAATTTTCTTTGTTCTATTTTAGGATATCGAGGAACAATATTTGTGTTTTACCAAACACATGTATTCTGATTTTGGGGAGTTTACGTACCGACTTAACCTGTATTAGTCAAGAAGAAGGACGATCTCTGTAACATTAACTGAAAATGTTTAGGATTTTGTTTTCCAACATTTATGCAATCCTCATTTCTAACACTAGAGGTAGCCATTGTAAACAGATGTATACTATCACAGTTAGACGTGATGGATGGATCAATAAATGTCGATCATTTTAGTGTTTTGGAAGGTCTTTTTTAATCATTAATCAAGTTGTTTTTAATCAACTCATCTTCAAGTTAATAATCACCATATTAATTCTCATTATCCCTCTTCTGCGTCTTTGCAATACACAAATCAACAATAAAATAAAACGTTTAACGTTTGAATTTGATCAATTTCATGTTATCATTCCACAAGAACGAAAAATAAAAAAAAAAAATGCAGAAAACAAGCCTGGTATGAGAAGAATGGAGTCTTCTTTAGAACATTATCTACCCTGAGCCTTTCACTGTTCTGGGATCAGCGGCTGTTTCTGAACACGGATACGCAAAGCCGTAGTGGCCAAGCTGAGGCTGGACTGAGTTCAGTGTTTGGCAGTTGTGTCGAGGTCTGGATCTGCTTATATGGACCATGCAGAACTGGCTCTGCCTATAAATAACACTGACACTTTTAAAAGGAGGAGAACACTGAATCTGGTCAAAAAGCAGAAGAGAGTTGTGAAATGAAGGTAGGTTGTTTGGGCAGACATTTGCATATTTTTATCATACAGTATTATTATTTGTTGGTGGTTTTGTTAATATACATGTTTGTTTTTTATTATTTCAGGCTCATTCTTTAGCAGGTTTCTTGTTCCTGAAGGCCATGGCAGCTTTGCTGTTTTTTGCCATGATGTGTCCTATTGCCTTTTCTACACAGGTGTCGGCGAGTTTACTCTGAATCTTTGTACCAAACCTTTGTTGCACATTATCAATGTCATTTGCAGATAGACAAACATGGATGCTCACCAGAGTGCAATAAGAATTGTTTTTATTTAACTGCATTTCAGACAAGAGAGTGGTGCGGGCCAGAGGTTGCAGCTCTCAAGCGCAGCATAAAGAAACTGGAGAATAGACTCCTCATCGCGACCTGGCAGGTTGAGCATTTACAGAGACACAAATATTTCAAATCATTTCAACCTGCGGGGTTTAATCCTCAGACTGTAGTAGACACAGACTCTGCTGATCAACACGACAGTCGTGGGCCATTAGAAAAGTCTAATGTGACAGCGATTGAAACACTTCCACCAGCAGGGGGCCTTATTGTACATGACAAAGGTGAGAAATGTGGCATAGAAATACGTGTGAGTACTTTTACGAACTTATTCAATTTCCCTTCTTTAACAACCTCCACCTCTCAGATTGTTCTGAGCTATTTGACAGACTGCGACCACAAAGTGGTTTCTACCGCATCAGACCCAACATGCACCAGGAGCCATTTTTGGTTTATTGCGACATGGACGATGGAGGAGGATGGACAGTGTTTCAGAGACGCAGGCATGGAAGAGTTAACTTTAACAGGTATTCAGGAGGTGTTCAGGAGTATTTGTATGATAACATATATCTTTATATATATATATATATACAGGTATATATATATATATATATATATATATATATAATATATATATACTGTGTATATATAATTCACACTACATACAGCATGTGACCTTCACTTGCTTCTCACTGCAGAGACTGGGTGGACTACAGAGATGGATTTGGTGACTTTAAACTGTGGAACGATGAGTTCTGGTTGGGGAACGAACACATTTATTCGCTACTCTCAGAAGGTCAGTCCGTAAAATCTACCAAACTTGAGTAGAGTATAATTCATACATGTTCCATTTATCTTATTAGGAATCATACGTTTTGTAATAGTATTCCAAAAAACATTTTTGGTATTGGTTCTTCAGGTAAGAACCTCGTGAAGATAGATCTGATGGACTGGGAGGGACACAGCAATTATGCATTTTACGAGAACTTTAGGATCACAGACGAGAACGTGAGGAGAAATAAGGAGTGTCAATTCTTGTCTCTGATGTAATTCCCAGCAGCATTACTCACTCCTGTTCACATACAACACAGGATAAGTATCGTCTCCAGTGTGGACAGTACAGTGGTAAAGCTGGAGATGCTCTGAGTGGTGGCAGCGGGATGGTGCAGCAGTGGTCTGCTGCTCTCTGTGGCATGCAGTTCAGTACCAAGGATCAGGTAACATGGCCCGTTAACTGGAGGTGTTTTTTATTATTAATGTTACCACAAGAAACCGTAGTAACACAAACAACAATGGTTAACAGGACAATGACCGCTATCTCCAGGGCAGCTGTGCCCAGGAGAATGAAGCTGGATGGTGGTTCAACAGGTGAGAGTCTGAAGCTTCATCTTTTAGATACACGTCGCCATGTTGACGTTGTGAGCTAACTTTTTATTTTCAGATGTCATGCAGCTAACCTGAATGGGAAGTTCTACCGCAAGGGAAAGTACAAGGCGCAGTATGACAATGGTGTGGTGTGGGGGACCTGGAAAGGCCTGTGGTATTCCCTCAGACACACCACCATGAAGGTCAGGCCTCTGCTGTTTTTGGACACGGGCAGTGGAGCGGGAGAAATCTGAACAGTGGTTTAGTGAACAGTAGAATCTGGTTAAAATATATGAATTGGACTGAAATTGTTTCAATATTCCAAATATTTTATTTTTATCCATTTGTTGTTATGCATTAATGTACACTTCCATTCTTTCAGTATATATAATATTTAAACAATAAAATATCACCTGTGCTTATGTCTATCTTCAACTGTCCTTATACAGTTCTTACATGTATATTTAGCAAAAAAAAAAAAAAACAGGAAAAAACATAGGGCTTGTCAAAATAAAAGCATAAATCCCATGAATTACTTTGTTGAATTAATCAGATAACATTTTTACACCTATGCAGAATTACGTCATATCCAATAATTCCAATACACACATTGATATTTACACACTGTGCGAAATAGTACTGTACTTCACTGAAGCAGCCTGAGCTTAAAATACAATCTCACCACCCAGGACAAGTTTACTTTTGTCATTTAAGAATCTTGATTAATTTGGATAAATCATAATAATCTGATTAATCAAAGGGTGGCTCTAGATTAATCAAGTTAAAAATGATTTCTATAGTATAGTATATAATAGTGTATATATTTATTTTGCTTATATACTATATATTATAATATATAAACAAGGTGATAGTATTATCATATTTAGTACTGCAGAACAATAGTTTTTGTTCTGGAGTATTTCCTGTCATTGTATTATAATATTCAGAATTGTTTTTTTCTTTATATTATCCCTGTATTTGTTCGTCAAAGAAACTTGTGGTCATATAATCAAGTATGTAAGAATCATTTCCAAAACCAAAAACCCAAGCACTTGTTTTAGTCTTCTGTCTCATTAGGTTTACATTATTACAGTGCTACTGTCCAGTGTGATCTACTCCATCTCCTCACCCATGAAGGATAAGGTGAGATCCAGGTCCAACATCCTCTGCTCTGCCTCACTCAGCCTAAAGGGTGAATCTCCACTGCTGCTGTAGTCTCCAGACATTGGCAGAGAGCGGCAGCGATCCTTCCTCTGCTCAGATGATGATGTGCTGAACGTTGCACTTCGCTGCCGGCCCTTCACTCCAGACCCAGACTGAGCCTCCTTCAATTTCCTGGCCAGAATGTTCCTCTGGATCGGTGACGGGCCTCGACGATTCCAGTTGTGTTCAGCGCGCTCTGCCCGATCCATTCCAAGCTGGTTTGCCCGAAAAGAATTGGAAAGCCCTGCAGATGAACCTCCGACCCAGGACATCCCATCTTTACCTCCACATCTGGTAAGTTTCTCAGATATGTGTGTGCTGTTTGTGTTGGTTCCTGTATGTTTAAGTTCACTTTTGTGTGAGACAGCATCTTTCTCCAACAAATGCTGCTTCTGGTTATGTCTCTGCTGGGCTGTATATTGGGTCCAGTCTGAGGTCCCATGCTCTGGAATGGGGTAGGATTGGTACGGATGTCTTTCCCATCCTCCTTTGGTCCAACTTGCTTCAGGCAGAGTTCTGGAGCCCACCTGAAAAAAAAAAAGTAAAAATTTCTGTAACCCACCGCCACTCCAACAACCCCCAAAAAGTGACTCATAAAAGTTAAGACTAAAGCTGGAAATGAAACCTGGGTCATGCTGCGCTCTCTGAAGGGTCTAGAATGGGATGACTGTAGAGTCTGGTTAAAACTGGAGGTCCTGCGGAAATTTGGATTTCTGTGATTGAAGTTGATCCTTGGTTGACCCTCTCCTACGTCCCCTCCTCTGACTCCTGCCAATCCACTCCTTTCCACCATCTCAACCCAGTGTGCGGTTCGATCATGCCATCTTGAGCTTCCTCCATTTGCAGACTTGGGAGGACCTAGAGCCAGCTCTACTCTGGGACTCACTCTCTCAGGCAGGACTCTCATATTCTTTGATAGCTGCTCAATAAAGGGAGCTGCGACACAGAAATTGCTGTCGTTGGCATCATCCTGGGGGGGCAATGGAAGGCTGGGAGTTGGAGAGTTGGTGGGTGAAGCAGATGTTTCCAACAAGGTGTCATGGACTGGGCTTGAAGATACATGGTAGAGCTGAGTAGCTTCCTTCAAACCTTTCTTTTTCATTTCTTTGAGCTGCTGCTGAGCCAATCGGTACCTAGAGAATTTAAATTGGAATTGTATTAGAGTTAAATATTGCATTTAGAACAACATTTGGCAATTATATATTTTGTGAAGTAAAGTAAAGCGTTCACTCAACATACCCAAATATAGGAGGAAGCACCTTCTGACCTGTGGGTGACAACCTTTCAGGATCCTGGGGGAGAGGAACTACCAAAGACTGACCAGTCAATTGAGGCCTGTCTTTCAAGGATACACCGACACCCATGTTCCTTTGGCCCTGTCCATCTGTAAGGCTGGGCCTTTGTAGGCTGTGTCCACAGATTGAGGCTTCATCAGACAACTTACGTCCTCCTGGAGAATGCATAGAGTTCCTCCGGACAGAGCTGCACTGAGGAGTTTGGCAAAACTTTCTCCAAACGGTCACCACAACAGTAACCAGAATTACAGCCAGACACAGAGTGATGCCAACCACTACAACCATGTTTCCACCAAGGGTTGAAACTCCATTGGAAGTTGGGTGGAGAGATGGAGAAGGAGCAGGCAAAACTGTGAAAAGAAAATATAAACATTACCAAAAAAATTGGGTTAAGTGGTTTAGAAAAATATGGTAACACTAACCAGCACAGTCCTCCAGTGAGCAAAGGGACTGTTCCTTCACCATGCCAGTGCACTGAATCCCTCCTACACTTGAGGGCAGCAAACAAGCCCGTGTCCGTTCTCTCACACCCTCCCCACAGCTGACACTGCACACACTCCACGGCAGCCAGGGGCCCCAAGTTTCTAGAAGGAACAGATAATAAAATAGTACAAAATTTATTTACAGATGGAATTAAATTGCTTTTTATACAGCACAGAGGAGGAATGTCTTTCAAGGTCAAGTTTGGTAGAATTTCCTAAATATATACCAAAGTACCAAAGTATCCCCCTCGATTAGAAATAGGCAAGTTAAGTGACACTTTGTTTGCTAAAACACAGAGATATTGTTTTCACATGAATAATCTACTGGTGTCAAAGCTCTGCTCACTTTCTGTTCACTTCTGTTCAGTTGGCTTTGGTAACATCCCAGAAAATGTTAAGCATGTGAAGATGTGGATCAGACCTCACCTGTGCTTCTATGAACCACCAAACATGTCTGTGCTGGACTAGGTGAGCGACTGAAATTGAAGACAAAGCGGAAGCAGTACTTATTTCTTCCCGTGTCGAACACAGAACAGTTGAACTCCGTCTCGTTCTCGCCCTGAGTCAGCCAGTTAAAGGCCAACGGAGGAGACAGGTGCTCCTCTGGACCGAACTCCATTGGCAATGTTCCACCTACTCCAGTCAATCCTTTTCCAACACCCACATCCTTAAAGAGTAATACTTTTCCACTGATGTGAGCACATGGTGGTGTTATCAGTTTAACACTCATGGTTCCTTCACAAGCACTCCTGTAAGCATTAGCATTCTCCACCAGCAGCTTATAGGAGAAGATGCGTGAAAGGTAGAGGGGCCCAGAGCTCCTCACTTCCTGTGCTGTGTGTGGAGAGCGCAAAGCCACACGTATGAAATCTTTTTCTGTAAATGGGAAGGCACAAGGCAGCTCCATGCTCTGAGAGCGCAGGGGTTTGATCGGGTGTCGTGTTCGAGATCTGACTTTGTCAATACTGTTTCTTCCAATCTGGTTGTATTCCATGTAGCTGACTTCCAAAAAGAGAGCAGAGTCGAGCCCACTGGAACAGGCCTGGAAATGTTCATTAGTAGATATTCCAACCTGTCACAAAAAAGAAATGCATGATGGTCATTTTGTAACACAGTAAAAAACAACAAGTGAATGGAGTCCAAAATATTGCATATTTTTTCCTTGCCTGAAATGATCCAGAGTGGTTTCCTGCTCTAGCAACTGCAATGTGAAAGGTCGGCCACTGCACTTGCAGTTCTGAACTCCACCACCAGGTGGTAATCTCTGTGGTCCTAACATCTGAGCCATTAGCATGAGATTCAGTAGTGTCGATGATCTGCCTCAACAGGAATCTAAAAGTACCTGCATACAGGAAGCTGGAGCAGTCGAACTCCACTCTGCCTGATGATTGGTTAGTGGGCAAAGTCCTGGTTTGTAGGGTTGTGTTGGTTTGCGTGTTGACCAGTGAGAGGCTTGTGTTGCGGATGGTGCTGATGTTGGATTTTATGCTGAAGTCCACAAAGACACTGGCGTTACTGAGTGCAATGTGGAAGGAAGGCCAGATACTCAGCCCTGCAAAGGCTAGAAAAGAGATGCATAGATGTGAAATAAAAATATAGAAGATTTAAATGAACATTTAAGGACAGACAAAGTTGCTGAATATGACTATTTTTTAACATTTTTAATTTGTAAAATATGGCACAAAACTACATGGTTTAATTGTAAAGGGTCACCTTTATTTTTTAAGGCTTTACAAATAATAATACCTATTACTTTAAAAATGTTTAATGTCAGTTGTAGTATTTAATTCCAAAGTTTACTGCATCATCTCAATCACTAGAATTGTGTAATTAGTGGGTAAGACACTGAACAACAACAATGAACAACAACAACAACAACAACAACAACAAAACATGCTAATGTCCTTAATGTGGTTTCATTAACTTATAATATGATAATTGCTCAGAAGTACCAGAGAGTGTGATTGTAGGGAGAGTACATTTGTATCAGTAGGAGCAGATTATTTTAAGTACTATTGTGCAGCACACCACTTAAATGCTATTGTGTACACCTCACATCCTCACAAAACAAAGAGGCTGTGGGAAAAGGAAGAGGCTGGACCTCCATAACTTTTTAAACAACTCTTCAGCTCGACCTCCCTATACTATTCAAACAAGGACATGGTTTTATATGTACCGGTGTAGCCCATTTAGTGTATAGTATGTTGGCCTGGTCTGATCTACACGTAAATTAAACTATGCTGTTTTTTAAAATGTCGTTAATATTTAGACATGTCCTAGAAAGATTTATTGAGCCTCACCGTATCCCATGAGTGCCAGCAGGATGGGAAGCAGAGAAACAGTCTGTGGCATTCCGAAGCCTCTGTTTTCTCCTACACCACACAACCATCCTCTTCCCCTTAATCCCCCGACTTCTACAAACAAGAGGAAAAACACTAAAAAAAGGTGATCTAAATGATGCAAAGCATAGAGCACTTGTTGCTCACAAATACTGACATTTTGAAAGTATTCATACATTTCAATGCTTTGAGCATAGAGACATTTTGAAAGTATTCATACATTTCAGTATTGTATTTTGTTTTGTATTGTATTGTATTTTGAGTTAGGGTCGACACATAGGTCAAATATGAATCAATAAAAATGTAACACAGATGTCCAAAAAAGTCACAGCCTCGTGCGTAACGATCATTACTGGGACAATCACAATATTATCTACAGCTTCTTTAATTAACATTGTTTTACCGCATATGTAACCTTTCACCTCATGTCTAAATGATATTTTATTCCCGTATTCATTTAGTGTTAATATGACTGACATTTTTGGTAATTATCAGATTTTTTTGTTGTTGTCGTTTTTCACTTTAACTATCGTTTGAACTGTAGTACTGACGCCGATTATTTATATACATTATTAAATCATTAAACGTGTAAATAAAAAGCTTCCAACATACGTAAATTGACCGTTATAGACGTTTGAAATAAACCATATATAAACAAATACATATATTAAAAACGACGAAATAGTTCGAATACGAGACATTCGTTGGTAGAAGACGCGTTGATGATTTATTTTTAAAAAATTAACAGACTATACTTACAGTTGTCGTTGACTAAGGGCAACAATTCTACTTATCCTCTTCCCTACTGCAGTAAAAACTCAACAGCAGCAGCAGCAGCAGCAGCAGCAGCATCAACGGTTCACATAGTTCTGTGTCACTGACCGTCACAGTGAACTGAAAACTAACCTCACAGTGACCAGTAGGGCGGAGTGAAGAGTATCAACACCCTCCCTTCACACAAGCTCAGAGTAAGTTAAGAATTTAAAGTTCAAAAAGCACAAGACTAACTAACTAACTATCTATCTGATTATCGCTCACTCTCTTGCTCTCTCTCTCACTCTCTATCCATCTATCTATCTATCCATCTATCTATCCAGTAATGTGTCATCTAAGTCAGTGTTGTCAGTGTTTGTCTTTGAGATTTCATCAGTTCAATGTCAAATTTAAGATATATGGATACCACATTCATGAGAACGCCATCCAAGATAATTCTCACACCAGGCCCTAAATGGTCCCCATACATGTAGGCACCTAGAATCAAGAATGTCACATTTGTTTTCTGGGACCTGCTCCCATCTCATTGGGTCAGCTCAAGATTTCCTGAAGTAATTGATCAAATTCACCCACTAACATTGAGCCGCATGGGAGTTAATCTAATTAGCCTAAATATCTGCAGAGCTCTTTTTTACTCAAATGACATGGAGAGAAGAAAAAGAAAACAGAAAAGTTTTTCTGCTGATAAAACACAATCCACTGCTCAGCTCTGTTTACAATAGATTTATTATCCTGTATGTTAACAGCCAACAGAGGATAAGGATTAGAACAATGATGGAATAGTAGCATATACAACAAGTATAAACATAAAGCTGCTTCAGCTGCAGGTGCCTGGAGTATTTTATTTACTATTTCTACTCAACACTAGGTGGTAATGAGATTTGTTTTCAGCAGGGCTGTGCCAACTTCAGGTTGCTTAACTTTGAGTTTGGCATCAAAACAACGCCATCTAGAATTTCTGTAATACAACTGAAGTAAAAAACAAACAAACAAAAAAAAAAAACCGACAGTGCAGCCAAGTTCATGTTTTATTTTCTACATCTCAACAAAAGTGAGGGTAAAGAGGTCAAAACAGATTTGGGTAGAATCTTAAACCCTCAACTGAGTCATCTCTACACAGGTGACCCATCTTCTCAGCCAGCAACAACCTGCAGAGGAGGAAGGACAGCAAATCACGACACGTATGAATCAAATGTAGACTAAAACTGTTCCCGCTATCGATCTCTGTGAAAACCTACCGTTCTTTAGACAGTAGAACAGACAGACCCAAGAGTTTTGCAAACTCCTCTGCCGTCAGGGAACCCTTCTCTGTCACCTAAAGAAAAGGTATATATATATAAAAAAAGAAATCAGACTTGTGTAAGGTGCGGCTGCAATTACATAAATAATCTAAGAGAAGAAAATGTACATTGTCCAGTGCAGAGGCTATCATTTCCTCTTCACTGTGGGACTGCAGCTGGACCACCATCACACCACTGTCAAACACCCGCAACCTGAAAAAGAGAGGGGTCTACATTTTCATGACCATGTGATCTTCAACTAAGCTAAAATTTTGCCAGTTAGGAACAGCAACTGATCAGAGTTTTTGTTCAAACCAGAGGAAGTGACAGGAAATGACAGCTACACCACTTCCAACAACAGGAAGCCAGACAGGAAGAGCCTGGACTGTGTGAAGTAGGCGCCTATCCTGCCATTTATTCACTCAATCAACGGCACAACACAGAGCACTGAGCCTCTCAAAGAAGTAACTTGACTCATGCTCACCTCAGTGGAAACTTCAAGGACTCAAAAATCTTGCAGGCATTGAGCAAATCCTCTGGAGACAGAAGCTGCAAGAAGGACAAAGATGTACCTCAGTATCTGACAGACTGTGTTACATTGATGTAAAATTAATAGTCATTTGTGGACAAAGACATTCCTATGTATTTGTGCATTTATGTCGAGAATTACCTCCATCCCTCGAGCACGGTTAACCAGACAGTAGACCTCGGTGAGAGCCATCATGCCGCCCTGCTCCTGAGACACGACAGAGAGAAAAGAGAGACAGAAAAAAGATGTAAAAAAGTTCTGGATGTTGTGCATGTTCTTGTAACGGACAGGTGCTGTTAAATTGACATCTACCTCTAAAGGAGCCTGTAACATGTCTCCCAGTTGCTTAGCCAGCTGCATGTGGTAATGTGTGCCGGAGCCATGTGTTTCCCTGGTGACAGGGTTAGCAATTCCCATGCTCAGGAGGTAGGACTTGAAGCGGATCGTCTGTTAAGAAAAATGTACAAAAAAATATTTAAGAAATGATTCAAGCTCCTTGTAAATGAACCTGTTTGCATAAAGTTGTGTGTCTTTTGGTAATACTCCATCATACTGACCTCATCTTCTGTTATGTCCCCCTGCTTGTCTTTAATCTTGTTAGCTATAGATTTGGACAGCTCTACCATCTCCTTGGCCTGAAATATTCACAAACAGGAAGTCAAATTGCACGTTGTCTCAGCAAAAGGAGCCGATGGAACACGCCTGACGCCAATTAACAACAGAAGGAGAAATTAACTTCACAGGTAGGAAGTGTTTACCTTAACCATTAGCTTACTGAGGTCTTCAAAAGCCTGAAGAGAAACAGGAAAGGAACTGCTTAAAATTATTCACAATTACATAGACCACAAATCGTTATCACTACAAAAAATATTCAAATATCATTCCAAAGTCTCCCTAATTACGCTCAACTCGCAATGAGAATGAAACTCCCCTTTGCCTAACGATCTGGTTTTTCAACAACTAAATGCCCTTATTGCACAATTAAGACATTGAAAGTGTCCGTCAGTGGTTATACAAACACATAACTTCAGGGATGATTGATGAGAGTCAGCATAGCATCAGTGGTCAGCAAAACTTCAAACCACAATACAATGCATTCCAGTGAATACACCATTCATCAAGTAAGTACAAACAGTGAACAATTCTAATAATTAAAATAATGAATTACACTCAACAATGTGAATCAATTTATCATCCTGAAAAAAAATGTATTTTTACTTTCCACTGTTAACTGTACCTCTGTAATGTTTTTGTCTGTTTCTTTCCTCTTCTCCTCTATCTTTCTCTCAATGCCAACGATCCCCACTGCACGTGTCTTTCCTGTCTGCATGAGCATAGGAAGGAAAGAAAAACACACATAGTAAGGCTCACTGGGATATGATAAGATGGTAACAGCCTGGTGAACGAAAAAGGACAAAAAGTAAAATTATATTTTGGTACATTAATCAATGTTACATACTTGGAATTTTTGCAAAAAAATCCATAAACTATTTTAAAGATCTAGTAATTTCAGGCATTAGTGAAAGTCATTTAAATGTAGTTTATGGTAAACCATGTTCAGAAACAAGTTTGTCAATACTGAAAAAATAATATCAGTAAGTTCCTTAAAATAATCAGCAGGTAAACGTTTGCCACATAGACCAAAAATAAAGCGACAACACTGCCACCCTGTGGACCTTAATTTAAAATGTTTCGTTTGGTTAACAAACATCTACTGTAATCAACTGTTTTGTGGCAGTATGGATTTTAGGAATACAGGTTTTAGGAGTGACAGTAAATCCCACAAACTTCTGATGATTCAAAACAGATATATACTGAAATACATAACAGAAAAAAATAAGAATATTACATTAACATATACAAATCTTCCAACCTGAGAGCTAACACCTGGTGAGATGGATTGTGAAACTGATGTATTCTCCCATCTCCTCTGAGTTATCTCTTCTGTTAGTCTCCTGTAAAACTGCAAGAAATTGAGACTATGTTAAAACACAATGTAAAGAATGTAAAAACAGATAAAGATTTAGACAGTACAGTACAGTATAGCAAGAGTCTACCTCAATCTGCCCATGTTCTTTAAAAGACAGCTTGATGTAGGAGTACTTGCTGTGTTGGTACGGCCCAGGCTCCTTGTTGGCAGAAGGTGGATGAAGGTGAATAACTATTTTTGCACTAAAGAATATAAAAAACAAAAAGTGCCAAACAATGGAGGAGGGATTATTGCTCTTGCTTTACATCAAGAAGATTATAAGCTCTAGAGACACTGCTCCCAACAATGCAACAATTTTTAATTTCATACAGTACTGTATGGACAATGTAAGGTTACATTTATGCTTGGATGACAATGAAATCTTAACTGTGACACCATCACTGGGGTTCATCTTGGTTTGCACAACGATGTCTAAACAAGTCATTAGTGTTTTGAAAACAAGAACAGTGAATACATGGCGTTTTTGACTGCCACAAAGAGTGTGTTTGGAGGTAAATTATGAGCTAGGTTTGACAGAATTTAGTTTTTGCCAAATGTTAGGCATATGGGTGTAAATATTTTGGGTACAGGGACATTTTTTTTAAATTATCAGCATATTTTGCAGTCAAGCATGCTATTTAAAGACATACACAAAGTTTTTGCACCCTACCTTAAAAAAAGTTAAAGACATCATTTAATATATGAGTGTTTAAAACCTCCCAACCTATAGTATGTTAGATATTTGCACATTGGTATTTAACAAAGATAAAGTGTCAACGTTACAGTAACAAATGCCTCTCGAAATGCCATGTATCAAGCAAATATCTCTTTAAAACTTGATTTTAAGAAACAGACGAAGCTTGTTAAAGAACTTTTTTTCTGCCACTGACCTTTTCCCAATCCCTGCCGCCTGCTCCTCAAAGAAGATGATCTGTGACAGTGGCATGGATAGGCAGCATTCCTGGAAGAAAAAAGCGGTCAGATTCCACATAAAGCGTATAACAATGACCAGTAGAATCTGACTCCGAGGTTTGAAAATGTGCATGTAGTTGTTTGTTTGGTGTCTCACATGATTTTTGATATCCCTCCAGATTAAACGATGGGTGCTCAACAGGGCAACTCCAACATCCAGCTTGCTCTAGTACAATGAAAGGGATAACCCAGACATACACATTACATGAAAAATATCTGTGTTATAGTGATTATGCACTACATATTCTTCTTGGTAAACTGCCAAGAAGCCTTTCATTTCAATAACTGAACACTGTGCCAACACAGTTTTTCAGGTGTGTCCTTTCTGAAGACAAACTTGGTGAAAAAAGAGGAAACATTACCTTATCATCCCCATCATACAGTCTCACCCCTCGTTGTTGAATTACAAGTGTTTCATTTATCTCCAGGAGTCCATTCGCCCATGAAAAACGGTCCATTTTTGCGTAAAGTAAAATATATTTTCTATTTCGTTGCGACTCCGAGACTCATTTTATGTTTACTTCTGGTTCACTGTCCAGCTCTGACCTGATACTGCCTACACAGAATTAATAAAGTAAGACACATAAGTATTATAAATTAAATTTATATTTTTACAAATCTGTACTTAAAATATTGGAAATACTAAAAGAAGAAGAAATAATGTGTTGCTCTACCCTAAAATTTGAGATATTGTAATGTTTTTAGACAGGCAGCCTCAGTGAGGTGCTCATCGGCGTTGACGTCACCAGCACGACCTGTCAGTGGAACCTCGCAGGGCTGCTATGTTTCATAGAGCTTTTCCAATTAATATTAATGCATTTTCGTATTTTTGCAGTTTTCACACTCGCATATTACAAGGGTGAAAAAATGTTATTCCATGGCTTCGATTGCGGTTTTGCTGAGTTGCCTTTAGAACTGCACTAGCTGTTCCTAGCCATTAGCTTGTTGTTAGCCGCGGACGCGTCGGCTGAGGACTTTCTCTTGTCTGGAAGTCATTGTTCACAGACAAAAAGTTGTGATGGTAACAGGCTGCCAAAATCAATCAGCTTTATTGTAAACCCATTTATTTATATCAAAAAAATATGGGGCGGTTATATCTGTTGTAATCGAATTAAGAATGAAATATTAGCCTTGCCACGGTAATCGAATGTTTAGAGTTCAGTTCACCCAGGTGCAGCCCATTTGCTAATACTCCATCTAAATTGTTCTTCAAAAAGTAGTTGATATAAACCTAGTACGTAGTATATTTAGTTTTCACTATCATAGAGGCTATCGTTTATTTAATAACAATCATGGATAAAAAGTCGTTTGATATTGTATTGGACGAGATTAAAAAGGTAAGAATGTTGTTGTACTATATATAATTTAGGCGTTAAATTATTTCCAGTCCAGTCCAGCGTTTTTTAAATGATTGTCCTGTATTTTTAGTGCGTCCTAACAGATCAACGCATCAAAGCCATAGAGCAGGTGCATGGATATTTCTCCAGTGAGCAGGTAATCGTGTTTGCCATGTTAACTTACCACCGTCAGTAGTATAACACATCACCAAAATAATGCTCTATTTAGTGATCAACACTGCATCACATCCTGTCCGTTTGCCTCTGACAAATATATTTGAATATATTTTCTATATATTTTGGCAGATGTTGAGTTACTATTTTAATCTTCAGTTATACAATATGTTGATGGTAAAAGATTAAACACAAACGTTATGACACTTTCCTAAACATTACAGGTGATGGAGATACTTAAGTACTTCTCGTGGGCTGAACCTCAGATCAAAGCAGTTAAAGCCCTGCAGCATGTAAGTAAAATGTAGTACTACAATGGTCATAATGTGCTGTTAAAGAAAGATTGCAAATGCAGGTATTTGGTGTGACAACTCTCACTATCACTGTTTGTCATTTATGTGTTAAATAAGTGTGTTATCAATCTTTTGCTTATAGAAAATGGTTGCAATACCTACAACCAAGGTTGCCAATATCTTGAATTGCTTCACCTTCTCAAAGGACCGGCTAATTGTTCTGGAGCTGATAGCATTGTAAGTACATTTTTGAATAATGTTTTTTACACAATGTCAGAAAACCAAATGCTACTTCAAAACACATTTTGACAGTAAAAACAATCTACATGAAAAATAAAAGTCTCTGTTTACATACAGAAATATTTCAGATGCTCAGAATTACCGTCCTGTGGAGGATCTCTTTCGCATCCACTTGTCTGAAAAAAAGCGAGCTCGCAGGATACTGGAGCAGGTTGAAAATCTAATTAATATTAATATTTACGTTTTTTTGTCAATTCTTCCTAATCTTGTACATTTATTTATATTGTTGCTGTGTAATGTCTTAATAAATATCAAACTTCACTATTCTAAGGTGTGCAAGGTTGGTTGTAAAGCTCCTGTAGCCATGATCTCCTCTTGTGGTATGATACCAGGAAACCCATACCCCAAAGGCAGACCCAGCCTGGTCACTGGCACATTTCCTGTAAGTATGCAGGGCTATATACTCAGCTTTCCTCATGCATATTAGGTTTTGTACATCTGATATGCAATAAAATATAAATTGTGTGAAAATATTACAAAATCCTTTTGTGTTTTACAAATACAGGGAATTCCTCCTGTAAAAAAGGAAGGAGAAAAGAAGGATGACGCCTCCAACAGTATGGAGGGAAAGGGAATTGCCTCCCGTATACTTGGACCCTTCAAACCTGTGAGTAATGAGTGGAAAGTAGGTTAAAGGATTGATGCAGTAGTGCCCAGATGTCTTACAGAAATCCCATAACTGAGTGACAAGGCATCACATGACGATAAGACTTTGCACTTCATATTGTGTTACGCAACCTGACAGTAGGAAATAATGAGTTTGCGACAGGGAAACAGGCATAATATGATGTAACACATAGGTGGTAAATCACTTACCCAGATTGGTTAAATTCAAAAAACAAGTTGCATTTGTGTCATGGAATGTGTACATTGACAAATGAAGCTCATTCTCTTTCTTCTTCTGTGCTGAGTTAATGTTTTACTTTCCCTTTTTATAGTTTCCTTCGACCTACAACCCTCATAGGCCTGTGCCCTATCCCATACCACCGTGTCGACCGCATGCAACTATTGCACCAAGTAAGAAATGACCCAACCTTATTCCTGCTCTGTATAGTATTGAACAGTTTATAGGAGTAGTAGCTAAATAAAGATGTGTGAAAATCCCAGTGGAGAACTTCAGGATGATGATGATGTACCTGGCCTTGAATTAGTCCATGTTGCATTTAATTTCCTTTTATGTAACTTTAGTTGAGGTGAATTGCAGGTGGCTGTAGGTAGATGTGTGTGCGTGATTCTTGAGTGTGTATGTGTGGGTGTGTGGTGGACACTGTTAATTTATGCGACTGCCACTCAGGTGCGTACAACAACGCCGGTCTTGTTTCTGTGGGAGGGGTTATAACAGCCAACGTGCCCCCTCCCCCCTACAACTCCGCTCACAAAGTAGCAGGTATGATTCGATGGAAGGAGTGTATGCGCGCACGTGCGTGTGTTTGTGTTTTCTAACAAATATAGCAACACCCCCACTCCCCTTTCCCTCCAACGCCCCGCTCAAGCCTGCTGCCTAACTTCTGGCATGCTGCTTTGCTGCAACCCTCCAGTCATTACCCTTTATTCAATGAAGATTAAGCCTCTCACTCCTGCTGGACTTTACTGAGTGACCAGAAACAAACGATCTACTATACTCTGTTAATGCACTCAAATGCAAACACAAGTTCAACCTCTATAAAATATATCATTAAATTGCACTTGTTTGTTTTTATTTTTTTGTTTTGTTTCATTAATATAACCATTTGGACTGAATTTGGCCTTCTTTATGCTTTATCTAGTGGCTGTTGTAGCCATTTGAGCTTAGTAAGCACTCAATTATCAGTTATTTGCCCCTTTAAAGAGGGCAACACCAGTTCTCATTATAATTCCTCATTTAAAGTGTTGAAAATACTTACTTTTGTATAGTTTTACAAGGGTGAGTATATGAGCCATAGTTGCTGTTTGTATCTTTGTTTCATTATTGTTTATAAAAAGGTGGTGGTACTTAGCAGCAGTGGTCAGGTCAGCTATCATGCCATTGAGTTGACATTTGTTTAAGCATAGGCACAAGGCGTAGAGATATTTTTCCCCAAACCTCACAGTTTGAGAATCAACAGATGACAAATTTTGTTGATTTCCGAAATATAGTTTTGTTTCACTGACAGTATTAAGGCCAGAGCTCTTCTTGGTGAAACTGACTTTAACTCAGGTTGGCCATTTCCCTCTTTTGACAGAAAAACTGTCACTGTCTGACTTTTCTATTTTCGATCCACCTTCTGTTAACCCTGAGGATTGTGAGGTAAAATCCCAAATAATCACAGACCAGGAAGGATGCCATGTTATATAACATGTTTTTCTTTTTTGTTCAGATGCTGCATTTGAACCTTACCTTGATCATGTCTGCACATTTGGATAATGTTAAACATTCTTTGTCAAAATTAGAAACAAATATATTACACCAGAAAGCACAAGTAAAAATTCTGCAATCAGACTTGTTGTGTTACTGCAGTTGTGCAGACACTTGTTTTCTGGTCAGTCGGTTTTTTATATAGGTTCTGGGGCTTTGGGTTTTAAGTTCCTCTGCACTGGGAAATAGCTTGAAACTAATGCCATTAATCTTTTTCTATCTACAATCATGCATCGCTTGAAATAACATAATTTGTAGGAGCAGCATATATTTATTTTTTTTACAGTTGAGCAACATCTTTCAGTACCATCTGCTCTGTGAACAAAGATGATCATGATTTTCTTTTTTTCATTTATTTCGATTATTTTAATTACTGTCTTCTTTTCTTAGCGTTTCATAAAGTGATGTGATTGAGTTGCTTCTTCTTCAAACAGCAAACCTAAAAATGGTTCTGCTATCATCATGAAATGATGTATCAATAACAACATTTTTCTTACAGTTTTATTCATTTATTATTTGATTGTTGTATCATATCATATTACCGTCATTATTTCTTCTGGTGACCTTGTTTTAATTGCAATCTTCTCCCACTTCCAGGTTATTCCAAACCAGGAAACCCACAGATCACCACACCAGGAGTCAACAGTGGCCCCCTCCTCATTCCGCATGGATCCACTCCTTCCACCCCTGCTCCACCCCGGGCCTCTCCTTCTCAGCAGCCCCCCACCACTCCCATTACACCAGTATTTCCTGGGATAGTTCCCTCCCACAACCCTAACGCCCACTCACCTTCTCCAGCTCCTTCTCCATCTGTCATCAAAGCAGGGCCACAGACCCCCAGTGGTCATGCTACACCTACACCTTCATCTGTCATTAAAGCCCACACACCTTCAGGCACCCCTTGTGGAACTCCAGTTCCTGGCAGCTCAGGCTTCTCCTCCCCCTTCAACGCTCTATCCCGACCAGGAACTCCTGCTAACGCTAATTCAATGGGTTCCACTCAGCAGAAGGGCTATCCTCACTCCACAGACCAACAGCAAGGACATGTGTTTTCTGGCCCACAGCCTCAAGCAGGTAACTCCTCAGGGTCAGTGATACGAAGTTACACTCCCTCCGGACTACACTCCCACACTCCTGGACCCTCCACTCCAGTTATTCCGGGCAGTTCAACCCCAGGCCCCAGTCCTAAACCCTCCCCAGCTCACACTGTACAGGTCCACACTGCTGCTGCCGCAGCTGCATCACTGAACAGACAAATGAGCACCAGTGGCAGCAACAGTCCGGTGCACTCTGCTTTCAAGGGTACCTCTCGTTCTGGCACACCATCACTTAGCGCTTTGGCTGTGCCAGTTTCCGCCCAGGCTTCCCTGGCACGATCGTTGGGTCTATCACATCCCCCGGGTTCTCCTCAGGTCTCTCTTCAGAGTCCTGTTCCCATCGCTGGCCTCCAAGCTCTCTCCTCAAGCCCTGCTCCTTCTCATTATCCCAACCTTCCAGCTTTTCCCTCTCTCCCTTCCTCCACCATCTCTTCATCCCTGCCAACAATGCAATCCAGTAACAACATTTCCAACCACCCACCATCCTCCATTTACCCAGGTTTAGTTACCAATGCTGCTCCAAATGTAGGCTCACCTTTCGGTCTTGGCCTCAGCACCACTTCTATATTCCCAGGCCTACCGCCTGGCGCAAACCCTGCTGCGTTCCCTGGTCTGGGAGTGTCAGGAGGTCATGGAGCTGGAAGCCCTGTTTTGTCATCATTCATGGGACTGTCAGGTGCCACCCCCTCTACAGTTGCACCTGTGGCTCCACTACAGGCTGCAGCAGCAGCAGCAGCAGCGGCAGCAGCAGCAGCAGGCGGTCCATCATCGTCACCTGTTTTACCCGGATTCGCATCGGCCTTTAGC